TTACATTGAGAGCTTAATTTCACTCTTGTGTTGGCTTTTTATCATGATAGTTGCAGTCACTCATTAGGTCTGTTACAACTGCTGATTTGTTTCTTACTGTGTTGAATTAGACAAAATCTGGAAGGTCTGCCTGAGAAATTACTTCCAGGCTGCACTTACTTCCTTGCAGGCATTATTTCACACCAGTGTTTCACATGCAACAGCCATTGGAAATATAAGCAGCAGTTGCTGCCTTGTTTTTGGTCTAGTTCCCTTGATCTTTGCTCAGAGCAGTGAGTGTGATAAAAATTTTTGGCACAGGAGATTCATTTTGAAGAGCCTGAATTTGCAACCTTCCTCCGCAACTTAAAAAAAGTGTGTGGGGAGAAAAACACAAACTTCAGGAAATTTTACTGGTTTAATCTTGATTTTTTAAAAATCAAAGCATGTACATGAAGAAAAAGTAGTTTTGCATGCAAGATTCCGGTGTCAGTTACCCATAATAATGATTAAATTCCTCATTGTTTTAGAGTAGCCAGACATGAACTCCAACAGGAGGTTAAGATACTGGGAACTTTCCCATAACACGTTCTTAGATTCCTTTTGTGTGCCCAGTCAAAACATGGAACAGATAAAATTGAAAGCTCACCTTGGTTAGCAGTACTCCTATTGCAGGATCATGGCCAGACACTGCCAGTGGGCCTGGTTCACAGACTCCAGATTATTAAGAAAGCTTAAACATTGTGGAAGAGCACAGGAGGTTTTCTTGTGTTCCTGCACTGAGCTGAGCAGGTTTCCCACAGGCTCCAGGGCTGTCCGTGTCTGGCTCCACACTGAACCATCTGGGCTGAGTGTACAGAGGCAGCAGCTGGCAACATTCTCTCCAGGGGAGGATTCCAAGGCTGTGGCTGCCTGTTCCGCACCCGGCTGTGGTTAGTTAAGGATGTGACCACTCCCTGAAAGGAGATTACCTCCCCACAGCTTAATTTCAGGGTAGAGTCTGTCAGGATGACTTAAAACACAAATATGAACTGAGTCTGAGCTGCTTCATTTGCTAATTTTTGTAGGGCAGGAATCCTGCATGAAGTTTTTTGCCCTAATAATCTGTTGTAGGCACCAGCTTGCTCGAGAGAATTACAGTACAAAGGAACAAAATAAACATATTCATGGCCATGTGAATTGACTCCTAGGGGAAGAAAAGAAATTGAGTTGATAATAATAGATGGGAGAAGTGAATGTGCAACACCCATTAGTATTTTGATGGGAATTTGACATCAGGTTGGGATTTTTTGAGGGGTTAAGAGCCACCCAAGGAACTGATGAGTGTTTGAAAGGTGTAAGCACATCCACTGAAGAGGCCTCAGGTTTGCAGCAGTGCAGTTTGATGTGTGTGTTCTCCCTCCCTGTGCAGAGTCCTTCCAGCACCACCCCTCCCATCGAGATCTGCTCCTCACGCCTGACGAAGCTGATGCGCCGGACCACTGACAAAAAGAGCGAATTCCTGAAGGCACTGAAGGATGATAGAAATGGGGAGATAACAGAAAACAGGGAATGTGACAAGCTGGATGATGTAAGATCACTGTCCTTGCTGTGTATACAATCATTACTGTTGAGGAGTTGGGACTGAAAAAGCCCTAAGCAGTGTACGTAGTTCAGGCTCTGGAAGAGGAAGGGAATGACTCCCACTGGGCTGGCATACGTGCCAGGGGAAATAGTGCACAGCAGTGATGGGGGGAGATGTGTAGCACAGTGAAATGCAAGTGGATAAGTAATAAATGAGGTGGAAGGGAAGGTCACAGATGTTGAAGGTAATCTAGATTTTTTTGCAAGGATTCTCTAAGGAGAGGAACAGTATCGTATTTTAACATCGCAAGTTGCTTTCCAACTTCCCTGTCAAACTGCATTCACAGAAAAGTAGAATTTTGTGCTTGTGAAAGGTGCAGGAATGTGGCTCAAGCCTCAGAGGCTCAGACCAAACCCCCAAATGTATAGATCTGTGCCTTAATGTGCATGTAAAGTGTGTCCTTAGGAGCATTTAATTCTCATAGTTTTCTTGCTGTCACTCTGAGCTGCTGGTGATGGCTTTGCAATGCCAGCACTCACTCCCTTGGCACAGCAGCACAGGCCACCAAATGTCCTTCATCTGTGTTGTCCTGTCACAGCCAGGTACATGTTGCTGCAGCTTCTGTAAAAAACACTGGCTCAAGGTGAAAGGCTTGGCTGGACTTTCAAAGGCAGAAGCTTGAACTTGGAACTGTGCTGTTGGCACGATCTGTGCAAGCACACTCTGATGGTTTTATTTTTCTTTAGATGGAGAGCAACAGCACACCAGAACCAAAGGAAAACTGGGAAGAGAACTGCCATCAGAATGGCCTTTCTCTCCCTTTGCCGGAGGAGGGGGAAAACCTCTCCCATTCATTGGAAGCAGAACACAGGTGAGTAAATGGCAGAATAAAGTGTCTGGAGTAAGGGATTCTTAGATTCCTTGGGCTGTGTGAGGAGAAGGAAACAATTTTGAAGAAAACTCTATTTTTGGGAAGCAGCAGTAGCTGTGTTTTTATGGGGAAGGAGGTGTGTGGGCTTTGTGACTAGTACTGGACTGGGTGGGGTCTTATTGAAAGTAAAACCAGACACCAGTGACAGATGAGCCAAGGCTTTACCAAGGTCTGTAATTAAATTCCAGTGCTTCTTTAATGCCACATCCCCATGTGTTAATGCTGCTTAGAGATATTTATCTGTCCACAGTGGGAGTCAGCATGAACCAAGGGTGATTCTGGTTAATTTGCAAGCAGGTGTCCTAAATGTAATGATTTGAAGACACACATCACACTTTGTTTGCACTTAGAATACTCCTGTGCTCCTTTACATGCTGTAAAAGTGGAGGAGAGTTAGGAAAATATTTACCTGGTATCTCAGGCTGTATCTCACGTCAGTGAGTAAGCAGTGTGAGCATCTGGTGCAAGCAGATAGTAAGGTTCAGAAGATTCTAAGCTGTGATACTGGTTTGGTTGCCTCATGTCCTTCTTCAGTGTCCTTGAGTTAGAATTTCAAATCCCTGTCTTCCACCAAGCTGGTTATGTACCCATTGTACAGGGCTGCTGATGGTTAAATATTTGTAAAAGACATTGAAAAATGGTGGGTAAACACAAAGGATTGTTGAAGTGGTCTGTGATAGAGAAGATTCCCTGGTGAATTTGGAGTGATTTACTACAAAACCTTGCTTTTCATGGACAAAGTGTTCCTTCCTTTGCCATTGTTTCCTTGCTTTAGTTCCCATGCCCCTTTTATTTTCTCCACAATCAGGTTATTGAAAGAAATGGGATGGCAGGAATATCCTGAAAATGATGAAAACTACCTTCCCCTCACGGAGGATGAGCTCAAAGAGTTCCAGATTAAATCAGAGCAGGTATGTTTACAGCTCTTGCTACTTGTGACTGCTCTTCTTCCTCTCCTTTCTCAAAGGCTTGTTCTTAAGCATGTTCAGCAGGACCAAGCATTTAAGGGAGAATGTAGTAGAATGGACAATTCTGCATTATCCATGTGTGCATACACAGTTAAATGTGGCATTCATGTCCCCCACAGAGGGTTGGTGACAGTTACTCTCCACACTTCTGCTCGTTTAAAAACTTACTTTCATTCCTACAGCGAAGAAGAAACGGATTTGGGAAGAATGGATTTCTTCAGGGCCGCGGCTCCAGCCTGTTGTTCCACTGGGGAAGCACTTTTAAGACAAAGATTGAGGACTCAGACACAGAAACAAGTAGCAGCGAAACGTCAGATGACGATGCCTGAAACTGGGCACAATAAAATTAAAATAAATAAAACCAACCCAATAAACTCAGTTCATAGTTCAACACGTGTTTGGGGTTGTATAAACTAAACAGAGTTTATTCTGTCTCCAGTCTGTTCAGTTTTTTCTTTTGTTGTTGATACTTCATGCACAAGGGAAATAATTGTATCCCAAAGAAGAGAGAAATTGGCTTCTTTAGCTTTTTCTTTTGGTTTTGCCCTAATGCTTACTAGAAGTTTGTGCAGCTAGCAAATTTTGACAAAAATCCCTTGTGGGGCAGTGCACAAGTTCAGTCGTGTGAGCAGGACACAAGTGGCTGACTGATCTCTGCAACAACAAGCTTCTAACAGTGCCGCCGCATTGCCCAGCGCGCGGTAACGGTGTGCTAAAACAATCATTGTCGATGACAAAATGGCTTTTGAAGTTCTAATTATGTTAAATTAATGCTAATAACATGAATATTTTATTTTATTTTATTTTTTTTGGCGGCTCGGGGAGCTTCATCACTTAACCAGGCGTTTGTGGTTTTCTTTTTTTTTTTTTTTTGGGTACAGCTGTAAAATATTTGGATATAGGAATTGTTTGTGTTCTTCTTCTTGCAGCCTTGATATTCAGGGTGGATTGTAAAATATAAATTTTTTGTGAGATTTCAAAGATTAAGATTATTTTGATAACATTATTTACAGATTTTAAAAAGTGACTATCACATTGAGTCTGTATGAGGGGGAAAAACTACTGCATCAAAAATAACTAACTTGGAATAAATATTTTGCATCAGTTTGCCAATTCTAATTGTCTTTCTTATGTAAGAGAAGCTTTCCTCTAAGGGACCTGCAACTTTGGGGGTTCAGTAGCACTGGGGATAAACAGTTTCTTCTCCCGCTCTATTTTTCCACTTGGCAAACATTGCTGTAGTGCTCAGACTGCAGGAGCTGAACTCTTCCTTTAAGAAGGGAGAGGGAGAACAATGCTGAGATGACAGTCCATGTTTGGGGATTTTTTTTAAAGAAAATAATTCAAAATTATCTTCTACTAAAGCAGTTTGCTTTTTTTTCCGCTTCATACAAAATGGTGAAGCTCGACCGGTCGGTGTCACTTGTTCCTAGTGCAATGCTGCTGTTTATGTTCACAACGTGGCAAGGGAATGTCTGAATCCAAAGCTGTTTTCATTGAAATCTTTTTTAAAAATTCATGAAAACATTTCTATTAGATTAAAAAGAATTTTACAAACAACTCAGTTGTGGCCTAAGCTATTTTAGTGTCTGGTGTAAGTTCAGCTTGTGCACAACGGTTTTGGATGGATTGGAAAGTGCTCTGGGGTTGTGCAGTGTTTGCAGGGGTGTGGGACAGAGTCACACTGCTGACTTGAGGGGGTTTGTCCCAAGGTTGTGCCTGTGTGTTTTTAACCCATTCCTGGCCAGGCAGAGAGGACAGAGATGTAAGAAAATGATAATGTTTAGTCCTGAATCTTTGCATCTGGATTCAAGGGCGCACGCTCAGCATTATTGGGTGTAACTCTGCTACCTGTGCCTCCAGCTCCTGCTGGCTCTGCCGTGAGCTCCAGAGAGGGGCAGTGGAGCATTTCTTCATCCCTGTGCTCTGGAAACCAGGGTCCAGGGGCTGAGGCTGCCTGGGAATGCTTGGGAGGTGCTGGGGCTCCTGTACGACTTTGCACAAACCATCTTGTTCCTTCTGAATATTCAAACACTGCTTTTGTCTGAAAGAGCCTGTCCATTTTTTTAAAGTTTAACTTCCTATATCCATTTAAACCAAGTTATGCAGATCTGTGTGCACTGATTTCAAGAAATGGGGTAAATTTAAAAACCCCTTCACCTGAGATCCATGCTGACAGCCATTTGGACTGGGGGAATTTGATTGCTGAGCACTCTGGAGTGGGACCAGCCTGGCCTATGTGTGCCAGGAGCTCCTTGTGCTTCACCTGACCCTCCTGTGGGCTGTGCAGGGTTTAACTATCAATGAAACTTTGGAAGTGGCAGTGGCAGCCCCTGGGTGAGCCTGGCAGGGCAAGTCCCTATCCATCAAATGGCAGCTTTTTCCTGAGCAAATGATGAGTACCACTGGCAGTGAGGTGAGGGGAAAAACTGGTAGGGACTTGCCAGGCAGAGCTGAGGTGGGTGCAAGGATGGAATACAGGGAGCTTTTTTGGGAAAAAGCAGGGCTTGGACCCCTGTGGCAAGAAAGGGCAGAAGAAGCTATTTCACCTCTGTGTGGAGGTTCCTCCTTAGCTTAAAGTCTGCAAAGTGGGAGCTGCTGCAAGGTGGGCAAGGAGCACTCCTGGACAGCACCAGGGCAAGCATGGCTGTCAGCATTTTGTAACCTCAGAGGGACACGGGGCCTCTGTGGATTGCTCTGGTGGCTCAGCAATATTTTTTCCCCATTTCAGTGCCTGTGGTAAACAGTGGGAATGTCCTGGGCTGGGGGCGGGGCCCTCCCTGCCCAGCCCAGCGTCCAGCATAGCAACAGTGGCTTCAAACACTGCAGCCACCGCCACCAGCAGGTCTGTGCCCACTTCCAGCCTGTCCCGGGGTACCGGGGTGGCCCCCCCGAGTGACTCCACCCGATCTGCTTTCCAGGGTGTTGGACATGGGGACCTTCCTCTGCCCCCGCTGCTCCTTGGCGTTCAGATCCCGACCGCTGCTGCGGGTGCACATGGAGAAGCTGTGTCTCGGGCCCACGGCACCCAGCAGCTCCTGCCTCCGTGGGGGGGACCCTCTGCCTGTGGAGGGAGCACAGGGCACGGCAAGGAAACCACAGGACATCTCGGTAGTGTGGAGCTGGGTCTGGCACAGAAGGGGGATGGGGACAGGTGCTGGGCTGGGAAACTGGGAATCACATCCAGGATCCAGCTTGGTCGGAGTTGGGTAAGCCTCCATCTTCCCATGCCTGCACCACACAGGCAGCCCTTGGTGCTTATTTTGCTAAAACCAGAAAAGTATATTACTGGGGGGGGATTGGGGGAGGGTGAGGGTGTCACCCTTTCCTTCCCTTTGTGTCTGCGAGGTCGGGGTGTCCCAAAATACGGACAACGCTGAGCCACGCCATCGCTTTGTGCCTCGTGGGGTCCCACCAGCTGTGCGGGGACAGCGGGGACCAGGGCGGGTGCGGGGAGCTCCCCTGGGGGATGTGCTGACCCCCCGCGAGAGGGCCCTGCTCCGCACCACCAACCCCACCTCTAGGAGGCTGCCAGTAGAGGTACGGTGAATCCTGAATGCCAGGGCAGGCATCAACAGCCCCAGGGCTGGGGGCCAGCCCCTCCTGCCCACTGAACCCCGTGTGCCACAGGGAGAGTCCCCCCCGCAGCCGCTCCCAGTGCAGGGACAGCAGCAGCCGCCGCAGGAGCTGCTGGAAGCCCACGAACGCCAGGTGGCCGAGATCCGGGCCAGGACCCAGCACCTGGAGCAGCAGAGAGAGGGTAGCCCCCGGCAATGGTTTTGGGTCGATGGGGAGGCACGTGTGGGATGCAGTAACCCCGAGAGTGGGGCTGTGGGGGCCGTGCTGAGCCCCCCGGCCCCTCACGGTCCTTCAGGGCTGTGCCGGCGGCTGGCGACACTGGGGGCCAGGGCTGAGCTGGGGGAGCCCGAGCCGAGCCAAGGCCCACAGGACCAGGCCGGACATGTCCGAACAGCACAGCACCGGTGAGCCCTGGCCTGAGGGGTCACAGCAGAGCCCTGGCCCTGCGGGGTGCTCTCCATCAAGGCTCCCTCACCCCCAGTTGTCTGTCTCCTCCCCAGGGCCACCCTCCATCTTGACACCCTCCTGCTGCCCGCAGGGCCGCTCGCGGCTGAGGCCAGGTGAGGGTCTGTGGGCCATGGCGGCTCCGAGCAGAGCGCCCTGCTGGCCGAGCCCGGGCAATGGCTGATCCAGGGCTCTGGCAGGGCACTGCGAGTGTCCTACCTGCGCTCCGGGGGACACGACCCGGCCATCCTGGACCAGCTCCTCCACCTCCAGCTGGAGGCCACGGTGCTGGAGAAAGGAACGGCGGGGCTGCGCAGGGGCAGGCGGATGGGTAAGCGCCATCACCAGGCCCAGGCCTGTCCCCCTCAGGGACCATGGCCCCAGGCAGCAGCTGAGGCACCCCCAGCTGTGCCAGCAGAGCCCCCCAGCACTGGCACTCACGGTCTGGATGCGGCACTGCTGGCCGTGGAGCTGGAGAACTGGCGTCTGGAAGATGAACTGTTGGCACTGAAGGTCAGAAGGGAGAGGAGAGCAGATGCTGGTAAGTGATGGATTCCTCATCTGCACCCCACAGCCAGAGATGGCTCCTGGAAATATTGGCAGGTGGAGGGGGGCTGTAGCTCAGGGTGAGCTCTCTGCAGTGAGCAGGGAGAGTCCTGGTCCCCTGGGGCCTGGTGAGGTGCCAGGAAAATGGCTGCTGTAAACCCCACGGTGACCAAATCCTGTTGGCCAGGCTTACGGGCAGCCCAGCGGCACACGCAGGAACTGGCGCGGCTCCAGGCAGAGGTGGGAATGCTGCGATGCCACGCAGAGCAGATGAGGCCATGGCTGCACCCCTCTGTCTGCCCATACCCTGCAGGGCCCCCGCTGCCACCAGCCCTTGCTGTGCCAGAACTTTTCATGGTAAGAGCCTCAGCCCAGGGCGACTTCCAGCTCTCCAAGGAGGGGAGAGGGGAGTTGGGATTGGGTTGCCAACTGGGACAAGATGATGGGTGTGGAGGTATAAGCTTGGGGACCTTTAGAAACAGCTCCCTTTGCTGCACTGGGGCAGGAGGTGAATCCCCACCAGTGTTGGACCAGGGGTGTGATTTGCTCTGCATACCCAATGCCACATGTGAGGGGATGGCCAAGCAGCTCCCACCCTGCCAGGAGCCTCCTGCCCCTGACATCACTTTTTTCCTTTCCCAGGAGCGCCCCAGGGCAGCACTGGGGCCTGGCAGACCCACAGCCCATGTGGCCCCTGGACACCCCCTCACCCCCTTTGTGGCCCTGGAGGACCCTCCTCCTGCTCAGGAGCCCCCAGCACAAGACAGGGCTCCCCAAAGGTGAGCCAGGAACAGGCCATGGCCCCACTGGACTGCCCTGCCACCCCCCTCCACCAGCAAAGTGGGGCTTTAGTAACTGTCAGGGTGATGAAGGCAAAAGCTGCGTTCCAGCTGCAGAGATTGGTTCAGGGACCAGCTGTGCAGCTGGTACCAGGATCCCATGGTGCTGGGATGGGTGGAAATGTATGGGATTACTGATGGGACCAAAGAGGCTCTGTCTAGGCATATCAGCAGGAAAAGGACAGGCAAAGCCCCAAGCCAGCAGCAAACAGCTCAGTCTCCACCTCAGGACAGAGCCCACAGCCAAAGGAGTGGTTCAACCCCTCCTGCTCACAATGGTGGTTTGGGGACAGTCAGAGGGCACCGAGGGGCACAATAAATTCCCTGTCCTCAGGCACATCCCCATATCCAGCCCTCTGTAGGGAAAGCCTAACCCAGGGCATGTACAGCTCAGCCCTGGGAACCAGCACAGTAGTTACAGCCAGCTTTACAAAGTGTCAGAGGCCCTGTGCTACATACTTAATAAAAGGCTTCAGCTCATTGCTTTTCACTTCTTGGCCTTTTTTTATACACACACAATCCAGGGTAGGGTCCCAGCCCCACCTGGGCACTCCAGCTCCCTCAGGGGACAGCCCTGCTGCCCCTGTCTCCAACCATCAGCACCTGCTCCTGCACCCCTCCTGGGTGCAAAGTAGAGGTTGAGCAGAGATAAAAATACGCAGCAACAAAGCCCAGGATGTTACAAAGCTCTTTCTTTATCAGCCTTCCCCACCATCTTTAGGCTGCTCAAAGCTGAGGGAGGCACTATCAGAACCCACTTAGGTTCAGCCTAGAATGAACAAAACAGCCCCAGCTGTGACAAGGCCCCAGCAGAAGAAAAAAAGGTCAGGTCCCTGGACAAGACAGTGAAGTTCAGGCAATGCTCTCCTTCCCTGCAGCAGCCAGCCCTGCCTGGCCCATCCAATCCTCTGCCCCTAAGAAGGCAGATGTGGGTGCAAATGCTGAAAGGAAAGGGAGCATGAGCCCAGCAGTGGGCCAGGGCTGAGACCTGCAGCCCAAGGGGACAGCCAGGAGCAGAGGCTGCAACCTGTCACAGGAGGAAGGTCAATAGGGACTATTTGCTTACAATCTTTATTGAAGTCATACAAAAGTTGCCAAAAAGTGAAAAAATACACTATATACAAAACCATTTTCCTTGTAAGGAGAGGAGTGTCCAAGGTTAAAGAATCATTATCATACTGTGCTTTCAACTGCAGCCCCTGATTCTGCTTGTGGCCTTTTCTCTGTCTAAAAGAGAAGATAAGGGTTTGTTTTTAAAAGACAAGACACAGTCTTACAGCACCAACTCATGCAGCAGCCCAAGGGTTCTGTAATTTGAAGACTTAACTATGTGAACTTTGCCAGTCTCCAGAGCCCAACACTACCCTAAAGCATTGATAGTAACAAGTGCAGCCCAGGGGTAAGTAATAAAACCCAGAAGATTAAAAACTGGGGGAAGACCCTCTGCTAGAGTTGAGCCCAGCAAAAAAAGCACCCAGAACCTGTCTCTGTCCCACCCCACAGGTGACAAGGCTCCACAGCTGGGTCTGTCCAGCCCATACAGGGTCAGCACCACAGCACAACATGCATCCTGCCCACTAGGAATAGTCTTCATCTCATCTGGGAAACCTTGTGAAGGACAGCAGGCAATAAAACCAGGACATCTACCAGGCACAGAACCATCCCTGAACAGAGAGGGGGGGAAATAAAATAAAAAGCACAGCCCAGGCTCCTGGCTCAGCTGCCCACCTCCTCTTCCATTTTTTCTGCAACCTCATTTCCACGGGGGACAGAGTCCCCACCACCACCATTGACAGCTGGTTCTGGTTTAGATTTCTTGGCTTCATTGTCTCCCTGATGAGTCTCCTCCTCTGGTTTCCTCTGAAGACAAAATTTTTATAATGTCCACTAAGTACAAATCAAAGTTCAAATCTTTTTGAGAAATTCAGCATTAGATGTCACTGCACATCATCTATCCAACCTCTGCTTGCCAGGCTCAGGACAGACTCCCCAGTGCTGGGGTTTAACCAGAGCTTTGATACCCAGGTCTTGACCACAGGGACACTCTGGGTGCCAGGATCTCCAGAGCTGAGTTATCTTTACAGTCTGGTAAAGAAAGGTGCAACCACTGAGCCTGTAACTGTTCCAGGGTAGACTTAGGGCATCTACAACATTTGAAATCACCTAAAGCAGTTCCAAATCACTCCAAGCACACCTGAACTGACAGACCAATGGAACAGAGGCAACATAAAACTGAGAGTATCACCTATATTAGTTTTCATCAGCAAACACTTCTAGAGAACAGATAACATTTAAAGGAAAAAATTCTCAATATCTGATTTCTTAAAGAGGCACTTTATAATTACCACTAGTGTGGCTTTACTATTTATTAGAAGTCCAAGTCCCAATTTCCTTTTGGAAAGAAAGGAACCCAGCCCAGCCTGGTTGCCTGCCTCTTCCTTGGGATCTGCAGATGACCCTGCTGCTTTTGAGGGTCCTCAGCAGAGGAAACTCTTGTTCAGGGAACACCTGCAGAAGCCACACAACTGGGTCAGATTTACATCAGTGTGGGTCAGGCAGGGTGCTGAACCCCCAAGAATGGGAACCATCTGGCCTCCATGAGACCAGACTGATTGGTTCCCAGTGGAAAGGAGTTTCATACACTACTGGTTTTACTTCTGGAGTGTTTTGCCATTATACAGCTAAGTTAATAAAACATACTTTTAAGACAAATCTTATTACACAGAGCAAGCCAGAGGTACTTCAACAAACTGCTTGTTTAACAAGTAATTTCTGGACTCACCTTTTTCCTGACTAGATGAGAGATGTCTGTTACACACTGAGATGCACCATCAGCTCCTTTCCTTACTGGAATCTGTTACAAGACAGACACTGACACATGAGCAAACACAACCAGTAATCCTTAGAGCAGATGAGAATCAACAGCGTTCATCTTAGATTAACTTACTGTGGACACAGAACCACTGTCTTCACTTTGTGCAAAGCCAGATGTAGTTCCAACCTTAAGAAAAGCACAAAAAACAGACTGTGGCAGAAGATGCATGAGAACTTATTGAGATACAGAAAGCCCAAGTCCTTCCCATCCCAGCACTGGATTCTGCACTTCAGTACAGGACAGATGAAACGTGTGCTCCACATTTGCCTGACCCATCATTTCCAGCCCTGATACATGAAATGCCACAGAAGCCTATCAAATTCCTGTCTAGTTTGGAACAGTTAGTATCAGGGCTCTTAGTAAATATCCTCTTCAGACGCCAGCTGCCTCAGTTTCCTTCTCACAACCACAGCCTGGTAACACCTGTGAGCAACCACCAGTCCCTGATAAGTCTGAGCTCCTCCCATTACTGATTTATTCTAAGTTCCACTGGAAGAAGGGTTGGGTCAAAAGGAAACCACAGGACACACTCACCAGAGTTGCTTTCAGTCCTAGCTCAGCTACTTTTGCACTTTTCTGTGACTCCTTTGAATCTTCTATCTTCTCTTTTATTTCAGGAAGCAGTCCCTTCAGTTCTTCTATCTCCTTCTCATCCTCAGGGGACCCAGCGTCTGCCTTCTTTATTCGCTCAGTCAGTATTGCTGGGATGAAACAGTTATCAGAGCAAAACACATCGAGACAAAGTAACTGCCCAGATAACAACACCCAGAGGCAACTATCTGCTAACAAACAGTTTTACCAATTCTGCCCTCAGTGTAGTCTCACCACTTTCAGATAAAACACGACACAGCAGACAATGAGCATACCTCACTACTTTGCCTTGTGAAAACCCACTAGGCAGCAGCTTCAGAATTCCACGTACCCAGTCTCTTGTCTATGACCTCCATGGACTTCCCAAACTGCAGCACGGCCTCGTCGAAGTCGCTGTTGTAGTGGTAGGCCAGGGCGAGCTGGTAGTGGCTCTCGGCCAGCAGCCGGTCGTGGGCCTCCAGGTACTTCTGCTGCAGGGCCAGGCAGGCCTGGAACTCCTCTATTGCCTGTGTGTAGTTCTCTACAGGAGAAAGCCCCAAGGTCGTTACAAACCTCAGTAATTATCCACAGCAGCACCGTGTAAACCCTGGTTTGGTTACTCGGTGTTTTGTTACACATTATACAGACTGCAAACAGAACCACCACTGAACACAGCAGTGCCGGGCTGCTTTCAGACCATCAGTTGACAACTCTGCCTTCCCTGAGAGACTGTCTAGGCCAGCTCCTCTGGTTCTCATGAGTGTTTTGTCTAATTTCAGCACAGAAAACTGAGCAGCCAAGTCAAAGCAGGTACCAAATCCTCCTGCTTTACTTTCTACCAAGAACTGAGCGTAACTGGTCCCAGCTGCAACACGGATCTGGAGCTAAGGACAGTGCCACCTTCCTGCCAAGCTCTCCCCAAATGTGCTCCACTGACATAAGACACAACCCTTGTTCTGTAGCCCTGGCCCAGAAACCCATTGGGTTATTTCCAGAGGAAGTGTACATTTGGATTTAACAAGATTAGAATACATTTTTAAATGAAAGGCAAGTGAGTCATTACAAGGGTTTGTAATGGGGTTTGCCTCCCACTCCTTTTTTCTGCTGTGTAACACAAGAGCCTTTCCTGACTATAACCTACGATTTGGGAAGGTCTAAGAGAGTCAACTATTTTTCATGACAATTTCAGCAAGTCTCTCAAGTTCAGGAGCGAGGTTTGGTTACTTCAGAAAGCAGAACACAAGGCTGGCAACACATTGCTTCTTACTCAAACTTTTTTTCCACTGCTCTGCAAAAGCACAGACTATCCTATTTAAGGCACCAACCATTACTTCCAAAGCTTCTCACATGGCTGCAAACTATCAAGATCTAACTTGTTCTCATCCTGACAGCCTTAACTCACATCTGCTCATTTTGAAGTACAAAACCCAGTGACAGAAAGTAGAACCAAACATTTTGCACATGAGAATTAACATTACTTACCAGATTCAATGCTAACTTCTCCTAACTTCAGATGAGCTTGAGCTGCATGAAGCTGAGCTTCTTTTGTTTCTTGTCTACAGCCAGAAGGAAAAAATAGTTTTCAAATCCTAATCAGAGCATGCCACGTTCTCTAACTGGCTATGCAACCATCCAATTTACTTTAAGTTTCTGTGGCATATACCCAAATTAGAACTTTAGTCTTTACCTTTTGTAAATGACTTTTGCTAACTCTAGCATGTCCCAGGCTAGCTCAAGATTGCCAATTTCATCCTCCTCACTTTCCTGTAAAGACCAGAAGTGCACGACAGATTAAATGACTTAGACCACATCAATATGTCAGAGACCACAACAAACACCACCACTACATTCCCAACCAGTGTTATCAAGGATTCCATTTCTGCAAGAGGTGAACATTTCACCACTAGAAAAAAAAAAAGGCAAGCAGAAGAGGTTAATACATCAACCAAGACTTTGCCTGGAGTAAAAATGTTTCAATGGAACATGAACTCACATTGTTCTGTGATATGCTTTAATTTTTTTCCAGAAATAACAGGGCACCAAGCACCAGTATTATCCCAAGAGCAAGATCTTGGTTAAGGTTGTTTTTAGATGAACCAAATAAAGTTCACAGTCCAGCTTTTTTTAATGAGCCTTTGAGCTTTGTTAGAATAGTCTGAGAAAGGGACAGACAGTTATCGTGAATGCTTAGTGCCACTCTACGAGGCTGCAGATCTTTCCAGGTGTTTGGACTACTACATCAATGTACATCTCAGGTTTGAGGAGCACCACACTTCTCAAACAATTCCCATCCTAATCACAGCTTACTGGACAAGCAGACAATTAACTGTTCCAAGTAACTCCAGTGACAGGCTGGAACAGCTCTCCCCAAGTCAGCTCAGCACACCACAAGCATTTGTGTCAGAGCAGCTGAACAAACTCAAGTCTACAGACACAGCTGAGCAAGATGCTACAATGCAGACAAGGCCTAACATTGACCATTCCTAGGCAATATTGGCTTTCAGAAGTATTTTTCTACACAGAACTAAATTAAACACAAGTGAGCTTTTAGAAGGGCATAAACATCATACTTAGGCCTAATACTGCATCCTTCCACCAGCACTGGTGTCAGACCTCAGCAACCTCACCTTGTCTTCCACTGTCAATTCATTCTCCTTATCATCATCAGCTTTATCATTTTCTTTGTCTTCCTCTTCAGATTCTTCTGTTTCTAGAAGGCAAGTAGATGCATGAGGACACTTGTGTTTACTGTGCTTGCTCAACATGGAGTCAGGCAGAGTGTGTTATAGCCAACCCTAATCCTTCCAGTGACAGGTTAGAGGTGTGATGTAAGAAGAGCAGATACATTAAAGTCTCAGCATCAGCAGCCATCTTGCTGAAACCATTCAGCACTGTAGACTAAAGCAGACCATAAGTTCAATTTCTTACTATCAATAACAGAAACTTATATAGAATTCAGTTCTCACCAATCTGTTGGCAGCTATCACTGAAGCCACAAGATTTTGAGCAGCCCTAGAGGCACTGGCCAGCTGCTAAACTTCGTGCTACAGGAAGTAAGAGTTTTCAGCAAAATAGCTGCCAAGCTGAACACAAATTAGTCTGTTTCTCAGTTCGTGATCTTTATGTCAGGCATTTAAGTATCAATGTTAATGAACCTCCTCTTGTGTAGTACTAATTTGACTTTGACACTGTGCAGAAGCATCACATCATCTTTCTACCAGCAGAAGACATTTTGGGGAAATGTGAAGTAAAGGAATATGGCTAATAACTTCAGAGCACTGGCTGGTCTGCAGGCTGAAGTCACACAATTCCTGTAGCTATTCCAGAATACCTCTGGCTATTCTAGAACACAAGCTTGATTGGGGTAGGACTAGAGAGCCTGTGAACATACTGGTCTAACTCCCAGCACACACCCACCACTGAGAGGGCCAAACCTGTGAACGTGAAGACACTTGTACAAAGGTAAACAGAAGAGATGTCAGGGTAGTGGGAGGAGTTTGGAATGACTCAGCACCAGACCAGGATGTTCCAGAGGGTCCTCACATTGCCAGACTTGGGGCAAAAAGCAGCAGTATGTGTGCATAAGCAGCCTCTCAGCACTGGGGGTGAAGAGCAGGTAACTACTCTTAGTTTATTTTCAGTCATCCTCTCTCCACACAGACACCCTGTTAGGCCACTGCTCCACCACTGAGTGTTCACTATGCTTAGCAGAACAAATCCTTTCAGGCTCCAGGACTGTTTAATCTGAACATTTGCCACTCCTGAGTAAGGCCCTGCCTGTGAAGATGAGTTACTGGCAAGCGAAGTTGCAGTTACAGTTCATCAATTAACTTGTGCAATAGAAGGCATAGGCCCACTAAGGCCACAAAGTACTGCTGCAGCAAAGGGTGCAAGTCTTGCTGCAACAGAGCCTGGGAAACAGCTATAATAAAGCAGGGAAGCAGAAGGGCAGAAGCTGGACAGCCAGAAGACTGTACTAGAGCAGCAATAAGCCTTCAGAGCAAATCAAGTTTAGAATTTCCAACTAAATTTTTACTAGCAATGACCATCAGAAAGACTCAATTGAAGAGCTCCTCTCCTCCAAGTAAATTCATGTGTTCAGCTGTTCTTGTTTTTTCACCACCATTAAAAAAAAAAACACAGCTATAACCAGAGGCAATTTGTGCTTTGCAGTTATGTGAAGGTTAGTGCAATACACCCAGAAGCATGCAAGTGAACATCCATTCAGTATTCTCCACCGGCCTAGCCATTACTTACACATTTCACAGGGCTGTCAGTTTGCTTTCAAGTAAGACTTGCTTTGCAGTTAGTTAAGCGTTAGTCTAGAGAAACTGAGACTATTCACTATTCCTTGAAACTTTACTTGTATGTAAAGTCCTTCAAGAGCCCCTTTACTGTGCCTTTTCCTTATTCTAAGGCAAACAGAAAATTCTGAATGGAATACTTTTTACCCACTGTTAGCCAAATCCATCAAGTCATCCACCCACAAGTACTTTTCGCCTCTCAGTGTTACCTTCTCCCTCTTCCATCAGGTCATCTTTCTCTTCTTTTTCTACCTTAGCACCTTCACCCTCTTCCATCAGGTCACCTTTCTTTTCCTCTTTCTCTACCTTAGCAGCAACTTCAGCCTTTTCTTTCATGTCATTTGGTGTCTCTTTGCCCTCTGTGGGCACAGGTTCCTTTGAGGGCTCTGTCTCTTTAGATTCACTTGGTTTCTCTTCTGTCTCTACTGGCTCATGTTTCTCTTCTGCCTTCTTCTGTTCAGCCACCTCTGCATCCCCTTCTTCAGTTTCTTTCTGTTCCACAGCAGCTGCCACCTGTGCTTCTGCCTTCTCTTCCACAGCTGTCTCTGCCTGCTCTTCTACAGCCTCTCTCTTCTCCACAGCTGGCTCTTTTTCTGTTGCTTCTGCTGCCTGTTCTCCCATCTCTCCCTTCTCTTCCACAGCCACTTCTCCTGCTTCAGCCTCTTCCCCAGCTGCCTTTGCCTCCTTGTCTGACACTTCTGTCGTTCTCTCCTCCTCAGCTGCCTTCTCTACCTTGTCCTCAGGCACTGTCTTCTGCTCTTTTTCTACCTCCTTCTCTTCCACAGCTGCCTCCTCTTTCACAGGCACCTGCTTCTTCTGTTCTTCTGAAGTTTCTTCTTTTCCCACAGAAACCTCAGTCTTCCCTTCAGCCTCTTCAGGCTTTGCATCCTTGTCAGCAGCTGCTTCTTTGGGTTCTTCTTTAATCTCTTTCATTTCAACATCCTCTTCTTTGACTTCCTTCTCAGAGAGGACTGTAGACTCTTCCGTGGACTTTTTGGCCTCTTCCTTTTCCCCCATGGCGTTATAAACCTGTTCTCTCAACTCCTCCCTTGTTTCTTCTACATGATTGAGGAAGCATAAACATTTCTTCGAGTTTAGTGATAAAGACATTAACGGGCACTGCCAACACCACCCTCAAGACCCTCCAGTGTGTTGGTTTGTTACCAAGTTGGATGACACTCCTAAAAGCTTCATTTTCCAAGTAAAAGGAATTAGGAGACAACCAACATATCTGCTTGATCTAAGCAAGTCCCTTCCCCTTCCCCAGACTGCAGCATTGCAAGCGGCCGCTCAAGCAGTGTGCGGTTGTGCAGCGATTTTAGTCACAGCTAAGCAAGAGGTGCCAGCGCTTTAACAGTCTGGATGGACAGGAATTCCTGTATCCTCTCCAGCTGCAGGCAGCATAAAATAGCCACTGTTCCTGGGACTTTGTACAGAGACTCTGACCTCTGGGACTACACACACTGTACTGCTACAAGGTTACAAAGCAGTTGGAGTCAGCGGTGAAGCTTAAGAAAGCGAGTTTGAATGCAGTGTTCAGGACACAGACACTTGCTGACCCTTTACACATGCTTTCAGGGACCAGCTCCTTGCAGGTGTTTTACAGATTTTGCTCATCTTTAAGCAAGACTAAAAAAAACCAAAAACAGAAACAGAGTCCATTCATACTGCCAAGAGTTTCAATAGAATGATTCAGGCTACCCAAGATACCGATGGACTAAATTTGGATCATTCCAACAAGAAAATACAGCCTGGAGCCTCTGTGGCAGGACAGGCAGCTTTACATACCATCAGCAGCTGGCAGTGCAGAGTCTTCTTCTGCTTTTTCTCCTTCCTCTTCCACCTGCACCCCTTCTAAGGCATTTCCCAGCACACCATTTTCCATTCTAAAGGGAACAGGAGTTTGTTTTCCCTTGGAAAATTAATACCATGATTTGAACTGCACAAGCTGCAACACCCCAGCCCATCCCACCCCACCCAGGGTAATCCTGTCCATAAAGGAGTGAAACCATGTTACACCAGACACACTCTTCACCAAATGACAAACTGTCACTATACCTTGCCAACTCCAGGAGAGATTTTCCATAATAAAAAAAAGCTTCTGCACACTCATCCGCTGTCTCACCGTACTTTTTACCCCTACAAAAATAATAAAGAATTATTTGCCTGTGCCTACTTTAGATCTGGATACATGAACTTTAACATTAAATATTCCTAGACAAAAGGATCACTTTCTTGGCTGGTTTCCCATTGCTTTAAACAAATATTGAATGCTTCTCTCAGTTACATATGGCTCTCAAATACCCAACCGAGGAAATTAATCTGTAACCCAAATAGTATCATTCACAGAGCCTGACCAAGACTAGTGAACAAGTTACCAGAGAAGACACCTGCATAATAAACTATCAAATCCCTTTCCTTAGGGAACTCTGCTGGTAATGGCTATCACAAAAGCCACCTAAACTGTACACCAACTACAGCATTGTCCAACTCTTGGGTGACTTCAAATGGTTTGTCCCCCTTCACAGTCACATTATAAAATATAAACATGTGAAATAAAAATCCCAGTCTTTCTTGCATAATCCACATCGGAACAGCCAAGCTGAAGCCCAAGCCCAGCAAAAACACACAGAAGATTCTACTACTCACAGTAAGCTTGCAGCTTCCTGGAATGCATTCACAGCAGCTGGAATATTTCCCATTACCAAGTGCTTCTGCCCCAAACCCAGTAGTTTCTTTGATTCTCCATCCACATCCATACTGGAGGAAGGGGGAAGAAATCAAATAAAGGACTCTCTTAATTTTCACAGTAATTTTAGCTTCCAAAACCTAGTCTGCTTTATGGAATAGTAAGTTGCATGCGTTACAGTGGTTGAAACTACCAGGGTAGGTGGGACTTGTTTGGTTTTATTTGTGTAAATCGGAACAACTGATAGTTCCAATAACCAAGGAAAGACAGGCAAATTTATCTAATCACTGCAACAAGTATCAGAATCTGCTGTGACAAAGGCTGCTAAAAAATATACTTTAGGAGTTACACACCAACACACCACGGAGCACCAGTGCTCCAGACTTCAATGCTAAATCAAGAAAAAGAATAAACTCAAGTTAAAACTTTTCACAGCACAGCATGGTGCATCTGAGAAGAACGACAGATACCAGTGTCAGTTTCAGTTCAGTGCATCTTGCACAGCTGATTTCCAGAAGGTCCAGCCCAACATCTCAGACTAGGTCAAGAGGAGCTGCCCACAGAGGAATACCATCTCTCACATGCCAGCTGCCTCTCCAGCACTAATTAAAAACCCAAACACTTCAAGAACAGCTGGTATTTTTGTATGTATCAGTCCCTGAAAAGGCCTCGATGCACTAGATGTGTGCAAACCACGGGTGAGCACAGATTTTCAGCACCTACATCACACATGGGCGTTGAACTCCAAGTCTAAGAAGTGATATGAAGGGTGACCTTTGCGCTTCACACAGTAACTCCAGGATCTTGTGTTATTTCATAATTGACAGTTCCAACTCCCATCTCACCTGTCTGTCTTGTCTGTGGATGTGGAAGGAGCTGCCAGTTCCTCTTCCATCCTGCAAACAGAAAATCGAATGTTCTTTTTATTCACGTTCAGAACCAGCCACCCATTTCACGGCACCAGTTGAGCTCTCAGGGGTGCGAAAGCAGCACCAGAGCCTGGATCAGAGGTGCCCATCCACGCGGAGCGGGCCCAGGCCCCTCGGTCTGGTGTTGATGGTTCGAGGGGAGGTTGTGAGGGGCTCTGTCAGCCCCTGCCCGCGGTCCCGCGCAGACAATGGGGCTTTCCCGCCTTCCGCCGGCCCCGCCCCCCGCCCTTGGCGCCAAACCCCGGCGGCGGCTCCTCACGGGCCGCCGGTCACGTGACGCCGCCCCCCCCCCAGCCCGCCCCGCGGCGTCGGCTGCCCCCAACAAAGATGGCGGCGGCCGCGCAGCGGTCACGTGGTGGCTCCTCGCGAGCCGCGCGGGCCCAGCTGGCGCCGGAGGAGCGGGGCGGCGGCACGTACCACCGCCGGCGGGGGGGGACGGCGGAGGCAGGTACCACAAACGGCGAGGGGGCGGACGGGGGGACGCAGGTACCACCGCCAGCGAGGAGGAAAGGGGGGGAGGAGGGGGTGCACCTTCGCCAGCCCGAGCAGCACCCCCGGCCCTTCCCCTAAGGAAATCCGGCCCACCGCCCCCCTTACCCCCCATCCCCTCCGATACCCTGCGGCCCGAAGGCACCCCCCGTCTCCCCTGATGCCCCCCGGCCCCGACATGCACACACCGTAACCGGGGCAGCCCGCGCGGCCCTACCTAGTCTGGGAGGCCGGCGCGGGCTCAACGCAGGAGGGAGCGGCGATGGCCGAGGATTGCATAGAAGCTGCTGGAGAGAGGGGCGGCGGCGGCAGAGTGCAGCCCCCTGCCCCTCCGGCTGGCTATATACCCCCGAGGACACGCCCCGGCCCGCCTGGCGGCGCGCGCGCGCCGCAGGGGGACTACCGCTCCCGGCACGCTGCGCGCCTGCCCCGCCGCGGGACGCCGGGGGCGCCGCCGCGCGGGGCGCGCTGGGAAGTGTAGTGCCGGAGAGGGAGGCGGGGTCCCGCGGGGCATGCCGGGAGGTGCAGTCCCGCTCCCTCAGGCCGGCTGTGGGACCCCCCTCAGCCCCAGCTGGGGACCCGGGACGCTCTGGCACCCAGGCTCGGGCTCTGCATCCGCCCTCGGCCTCTTCCAGGTGAACAGACCCCGGGTTTCTGCCCAGCTAACGCGGATGCTTGGCTCTCCCCTGCGACATGAACACACGAGCAGGCGGGGCTGACATGGCCGCTGTCACAGCACAGCCCAGCACCGAGACCTCCAGGCTCTGCTATTTCAAGGTAAAAGTTCTCCAGCTTCAACCCTGCTATGTCCCTCCCTGCAGGAACAGAGCTGGGAAGTGTGGGGTTCACAGAGCTACAGCACTCATGTGCTTTTCTTGGGAATTCTCCCAGCCCAATTAGGTACTCTTGCTCAGAGAAATAACTGGAGAAAGTTAATTGGGGCCTTGATAAGAGGGAGGGAAAAAGTCTCAAAGTCATACAATGAGCACAGAATTTATTTAAACAAGCAAACATGCAAGTGAAACAAGCAAGAAAAACCACTGTCCTTGGCAGGATGACTGCAGTCTGCAGAGTGCCTTCAAAGTACAGTTGCTTACCTAATGATTGGAACAAGAACCGTATTCAGAGTCACCACGTTTGAGTAGAACAATTAAAAAAAAAACAAGAATTTAGTTTTCCTTTGGATAAAATGTCCAGTCTAGTAAAGAATCCTAAATGAGGTGGCTTCCTGCACTGAGGCAAATTCATCAGGAATTAGGAAACATTTTACAAAGGACCAGGAGTTCCTGAAATTTTGCCTGCGGTTTAGAAGGAGTGATAAATGGGTGTCACTCTTTTTTTTGCAGTTCAGCTGCCCACTGTGAGGCCCAGGGCAGGAATTACCTGAGAAGGCTTTACACTCAAAATGAATGCATAGATCTGCTATAGGCCTATTGCAAATGAGGGTATCCAAATCAAAGTGTCTAATTCTTTAACTTTTTAACTATTTGATATACAATACTATTTTTCTAATTGCTTGCTACTACTGTGAGAAAAAATTAATCCTATTTAACAGGTAGAGAAAAATAAAGTGTTGATGTTTCTAAGGCCACAGAAAGTGTCACCACCAGAGCACAGGTAGGTACTAACACCTCATGCCCTTTGTGCTCAGATGACCAGCAATTCCTTAGGAGACTGACACAAAAGAAAACTGTGCTTAGAGTTCCAGTCCAAGGGTGCATCAGCACTCAGCAAATTAGTCCCTGTCAGGGGAACACAGAGACATGGCCAGTAGGAAAACAGGCACAGAAGGCAAATGACTCACCCCGAGTTACCAGCAGGTCAGTGGTACAGCAGGAGACAGGAGCAGCTCTCCTCAGCATCAACCAAAAACATTTTTTGGCAGCAGCCAAAAATGCAACATTAAAACACTGGGAGCTCTGAAAGGTCTTTGGTCTTACTGTACAATTAGGAACTAATTTTGTGACCTTCCAGGACTCAAAATGGATGTCTTTGGTAAAGAAACACTGGACAGCTTCTTCCCGTCACTGGACACGGGAAAAGCAGGATGTTTTTCTGCAAGACTTGCTGAAAAATTCTTGAGGTTTTTGTGATAGGATCAGAGCTGCTGTCAGAGCTGAAACCCAGCACTGTGACAAGCAAGAGAGAGAATTGCCCTGAAGGCCTGCTCCAGGGTCTGCTTTTATTCTGCTCAAATCTACAGGCAAATTAAAAGAAAGAGAAAATTGACAACTCTAGGTCCCAAAAGTACTATGAAGTGGATAAAAGCACTGGGCATGGCTGATTACTTGGTTTTAATGAATGGTTTATGGACATAGTGCAATTGTAGCACCTTCCACTTTATTCCCTCTGTAAAAAATTATTAATAAAGATATCAAGATTGATGGCTGAGCAATTCTTTAGCCTTAAAAAACTTTCACACCTTCACCCTTTTTTTCCCTCATCATGGTAGTAACTGAAGTTTTCTAAACCGTTTCACAGTAGTAACCAAAGTAATGCCCTTGTCTGATAACAACGTGTTTGGAACTTGACTTAGACTCCTTCACTCTTTATCTAATCTCCAAAAGATCTGATGCCTCCAGGAGCCAGCCAGCAGTCATTGTAATAAATCCATAAACTTTGGAACAGAAGCTACAGGATCTCCAGGCAGGAGGTGGATTAGAAGTAGTACATTGTAGGAAAACCCACTTGGGAAGGAAGGTTTTCATTTGGACAGTGGCAACTGTCAAAAAATCGTGGCAACAATTACTTTGTGGAAAGGCAATTACTGGAGCATTACTTTAACACCTTATTTTCCAGTAGTTAATAGGGGTCATTGAAGGGGTAGTGGGGGTGTCCAGCATCTCTGGCTACAAGCTTTCCATCCACCTGTGAAATAAACAAGACAGACTCCAGTCAGAAAGATAAAATACACTCTTACTTGCGGTTTCAAGTTCTCCATGATTTAGATTTCTAAAACTTTGTATCCCAGAAATCTGGGTCCTCTTAGCCTTTCCTGAAAGAAAAGACACTTCTGTAGCCTAGAGCAAGAGTCTCTCACTGCAGAGACTGGAAGAATTAGACTAAGGGTAGTTAAAGGCCTTGTGCCTTCTAGGTGTTACTGAGTAAGTGTCATAACATGCACACTTCAAAACACTTGATTGGAGTTGGAGCCTTTGTCCATGTTTCCATGATAGAGAAATGCTGGGCTGCCAATTTTAGAGATGGATAAGATGAAACACATTGAGAGGCTTGTTCAGGGTCATTTACTGAGGCATTAAAAGTGTCACTGAACTCCTTTTAGGAACATTTCCACAGAAGACAAACTTGTCCAGCTGTAAAATGGGAGCACTGAAACCAATATTCACAGATAACCAGAGGCTTGGGCTGGCCCAAAAGCAGACATGGCCATGCAGAAGTCTCAGTTCCTACATCCCTCAAAGCACTCAGATGGACAACTTGCATTTCTGTTGCACCAAGTCCATTGCAACACCCCCAACTTCTGTGTGGCTGAGCTAAAACCTCATCTGTAACTTTTGGGGAAGTCTGGGTGCAGCACTGGCCCACAGCACACACCTCCCCACATGTCAGGCAAGCACCATCCAGCCAAAACTTAAGTTAAACAACTAATGCCCCAATAAAAGTTATATTAGAGAAATCCTTGATTTTATACATATAAAACGTGATGGTAGTGATCACTCGAAATGTTATGGGCACAGAGGAAATCACAGGGACTTCCAAATCAAGTATCCACTAGCAAGTGCCCCATTAGTTTTGAATATAAAACCTGCATTTCAAAGCGACTGGAATTCCTGCAATGGGCTGTTTAAATGAAAGGAGTCACCTGGGGGCACTGCAGAGCACAGAACAAGGATGTTACCGTGTAACATTTGACTAACGCTCCGATTAAAATAGAGCTGCTATGAGGCTCTCAGCGGAAGGCAATCTTTAAAAAAAAGGACAGAAGTGTCACAGCAGCTTCAGGTTTCCTCAAGTTCTCTTGAAAACCAACAGCTTCCTCATATTCCTAGAATTCATGTTCTTCACTCTCCTCCCAGTTCGGTCCCCCTGCATATTTGTCCACAAAGAACAGGCAAGAATTCTTGTTCACAGCAGGCCAAGACAGCAGCTGCCAGAAGCAATGTTTCACACCACTGATTCCAGTCTACTCCAGGAATGTGAGAGAAGGAGAGGGGGATAAAATCAGCAATGAACACACCTGCAGGTCAGCAGTAGCTAACTCTTAAAAAGAGATCATGATGTGCTCACTACATTCCTCCTCTCCTGGCCTGACAGTCATTTAAGTTTCACTTAAGTATATTCCTTGGCCAATTATATGTTTCCAAAGGTTTGGATTTCAGATTGGTGCAAACTTCCAAATTCTATCCAGATAATGAACAGTTAAAAGTAAAAAGCAACTTTGTCTATATGCAGTGTAATAGCCTCCCCTCAGGCTTTAAACATACACAAGAAGGAAGAGAGTGGCACAATTTTAAGAACTTGTGGCTATAGATCAATGAAGTAAAGCCAAGAAGAACTGTCTCTTCAGTTATGATAGGAGCTCTCTTGTCACTGTCATATCACACTTTGAAAACCAAACACTGAGATTCATAGCAGAGATAGGCATGAAAGGTTAGACAGGAATTTTAATTCACAGTTGATGAAAATTCTTTCCAATAAGCCCAGAAGGGATGGGCAGGAGACAAAAGGTTCCATTAGAGATCTTAGAGCTACAGAGCTGTGATTTAACTGCACTCATCTTGCTTCTTCCTGTCTCATTATCTGACAATATGGCAATATCTTTGAAGCCCAGCTGCATCACATTCACCCTTTCTCAAGCTGGATGGGCTGCCACTTTGAACTGTATTTCATCTCTCCTTTGTGAATCCCTGTGATCTGATCAGGTCTCCCAGGTAACAAAAGCACATGAATTATCCCTGGCTCATTCAAGCCAGGCTACATTTAAATGTATTTTGCAGTTTCAAAATAACTTTGTTTGCAACATGAGTAGCAAAACACTTGAAAGAAACGTGTTGTCAGCAGCAGGTGTGCTTGTCAATGCCCCATTCTCACAGATCAGCAGCTAAGCTGCTTGTTTGGTATACAGACTCCTGATCCATAAACACAGAATTTTGGCTGCAGGCATGTGAAGGTTTATATTTATGCACACATACAGTTAAAAGGATGGCCTTGAGGCTCATGTAAGCATGACAAACAGTGAAAGCTGTAACACCTATCTACCCTTGATATGAGACAATCATTCCCACACATTCACAGCTTCTTTTCCAACTTGGGCTGGTCACTGATATACTCTCAAGCATTCAAAAAACCCACAATGATAAATCCTGAAGAAAAGCTTTCTCCAAGGAATTCCTACAGCCAGAAGACACTACTGAAGGATAATTTACAGGCAAAGCACTGAATAGGCCAGACTGTGCCTAACAGCTCCCAAATTTGCTGAGATTTCCTGTATCTGTACAGTGTAGTGTATGGCACAGAAGGGATAAATCACTTCCGTTTCATTATAGCACAACTACAACAACTTGTTACAGTTGCCATATCCTGGCCAGTGATGTACCAGGAACAGCAACAGCTTTCTGTTGTAAAGTCAGAAGCAGGACAAGAAGAAATGAGAAACACTCTAAAGACAGGAGATAACAAGGCATTTCTTGGCATTTTGCAATGAGGGAAAAGGAAAAAGTTTAGTTCCTCTAATGTAATAAAGTAAAGACCAAGGGGACTTCAATGCTTACAATGCAGCAGCTTCTCTAAAAACAAACTGGCATCTGCTAGCACATGAGGCAAGAGTTCATGTGACACAGTAAATTACTGATGCTGAAAGATGCTGCAGCTAATGGATTTGGGAAGAAAAATAGAACAGCCTAATCCAAACTCCTTACATTGGAGAAAGGTCATTACAACAGATTCTGAAAAGGGAGACATGCAGCAGAGGGGACGGGATGAATTCCCTCATGTAACTTCCACCATGGATGTGGAGAAGCAGCAGCACCCTGAGTCTTCACTGATCTTAGAGGTTTATGGTGCAAAGTCGATAGTGACAGCTGGCACAAGGAGTACTTCTGGAGGAATGCCATGCTTGGACTTAGAAGAACAAATCAGCAGGAGTTTGGTGAGATTTGAAGATGAGCAACTTGCCCATCTGACTTAAAGACCCATGGGATCAGTAAAGAGAACTCAAGAGAGAGCCACCCATGTCCAAAACAGAGGACAAAAGTTTTCAAACAAGCTGCCTTTTCTGTACCCAGCTTTTGAAAAATTCTTTCATCTTAGATACCCTAAGAAGATGCAGTGTTCTTATGAGTCAGTAGCTCTGATGGGAACACTAAAGAAACAAAACTGTAAAAATCCCAAGTGGTGGCCATCTGCACATAATGAAAACTATTAGAAACACATGAAATTTACCGTAATCATTGGCACAATGTAACGCCAGTTTTTATTCAGGTTTCCAATGTGACTCATCTCCTCTGCTGTGAGGCTGAAGTCAAACACCTGAGAACAAAAGCCAGAGGCTTTACTCAATAACCATAGGTTGCCATCAGTTTGTTTTCTGCTAATAAATGTGAAATTGCAATTATAACAAACACCAAAGCAAAGGCTTAAAGTCTGAGCTGTTCACATGCCTTCCAGCTCTAAGCTTACACTGGTACTGCACAGTGCTCCACCACTAAGGTAGAAAGCAGTGGGACTGTTTCTCACAGTAAATGCTGCCTATTCAATAAATATTCTGTTTCCATGTAGATCTATACCTCAAGCAACTGCAGAATTTATAGGAATTGGTTGAGATTTCTAGCAGCACGCTATATGCCAGAATTCGGATTAATGGGTGTAACAGTTACATGAACAACTCCTTACTTAAAAACAAGTATGTAACCAGCCAATCTTTATGAAAAAAGATCCAAGGAGGTGATTCAGAAACATCCCTCAAGATTATTTAAAGTCAGGGTTTTCAAATAATTTCTGAAGTCTCTACTTCAGAGCAGAAGTGAACCACACTTACTCCTTCAGCATCACTAGAATGGCAGTTTGCTGGAGAAGTACTCACCAGTCCTCACTTGCAGGATAGAGCAACTATTACTCATCAATAAGAGTCACTGAGCATAGTTTGAAGACTCCCTATTTCAATAAATTTGCATCTCAAAAAAATTTAAGTACAGATTTTTCATTTAGACCTCTACAAAGTACATTCTTTACCTTCTGATAACAAGACTGTGCATGTGCACATTGCACACACACACACACACTGAGTTGCTTAAAACACATCCTTTGTTTCCAAAAAGCATCTTTACCCTCCCTCCCCAGCATGTGCATACATTGATGAACAAGTATGAACGAAGTGCCTCAGCTTGCTGCTCTGCAAGTTGTAGGACAGTATAGCAATTACTCACATGGAAAGGGCATTTCTGAAACTCCTCCATTTCAGCTTACCTGCAGATTCTGCTGAATGCGAGCAGGAGTGACACTCTTGGGAATGACAACCACTTTACGCTGCACTTGCCATCTGCAAGAGGAGGTGAGAGACTTTGTCTGTGTGTGCAGTCCAGGGACAACAAGTATTTATTTTGGTTGAGTAATAATCTCTAGCAGCAGAGATGCCACTCCTGTGAAATAAAAATCTGCACAGGAGTGACATAGCCCTGCATTGTATTAGGACCTGGTAGGTCCAAGCTCAAGCAAGACAGTAACAATTGAATTAATCAGAGAGGGGAAGATGTTCATGCCTTGGAACAAGCACCCAGGTTTCAACTGTTTTAACCTAAAAGCCCAAGAAACAGTCAGAAAAAAATACTTAGGCATTTCAAGCAAGTTCTAACCTGACAGCCACTCAGAAACTAAATGAAAACCCAGATCCTTAAAATGCCTGTCTAGTGGCTTGAGCACAAAATCTTGAACACATTCTGCTCTCTGGGTAATGTGCTACTACCCAAGACTGTGGTAGTGGTACTGATGGATAAAAAGCCAGTCAAGAAAAATCAGGATAGAAATCCAATTTTAGTTTACAAGGTGCTGATCACATTCTGGCTATCACTCAGTCACTGTAATATCCAGTACCTGGCTATATAAAAACAAAACAGCAAATAGTTCTTCAGTGCAAAGGAGGCAAGTCTTTTCCTCAGCCCCTCTTCCTGGGAGCCCACCTGAGTGCAGCAGCAAGCACTATAGGCTTCAGGGAACCAGCCAGATGCAAATTCAGTGGGGAGCACTCAGATATGGTACACTGCTACCTTAACTGTCCTACTGCTATTTCCCAGCAGAAAAGGTACTGTCCCAGACATGGCAACAGTCCATGTGAACTATCTCAGACATGGATCCAGGCCCTGAATGGACCCCTCTGATCTAGCCTACCTGCCCTAAGGCAGGACCAACTCTACCAGTTTTGTAAAACAAGCACCAAGTGGGGTTTGCTTTTGACAGTCCCTATGATTTTAACCCCTCCCTGACAAACTTTAAGTAGATTCCTTCTAGCCTGTATGTTTTGCTTGACTGAAGGCTGTGTCCCAAACACCACCTCTCTCACAATTATTCTGTACCTGAGGACGATCTGTGCAGGTGATTTGCTGTATTTTTCAGCAATTTTTTTGACCCCAGGTTCCTCCAGCAGCACAGGCTCATCCGGGTGTTTCCACATGCGATCCGGAGAGCCAAGGGGACTGTAGGCAGTGACCACCAGTCCTCGCTTCTGGCAGTGAGCAATCAGCTCGTTCTGAGCTAGGTAAGGATGGCATTCCACCTGTTAAAATGACCCACAATGAGTGGCTACAGAACAGATACCAACATACAATGAAGCAAACAGGAAGTCAAGCACAAAAGAACCAAACATATCACAGGAGTTTATTCCAGATTCCAGAAAACCTTATGAGGATAAGGTTTAAGTTAACCTTAGCAACTCAAGTCACTACCAGGAGAAAGAAGTGTCTGGTAGGCTAAGCTTATAGGAAACAAAGAACAGATTACCTAAGCTTGGTGCTGGACTTTGCCTTGGTACCAAAGAGATCATCCAACAAGCAAGGAATTTCTATGCAATAGGGATTCAAATTACTCCCTCACAATCTTTCCTTTTTACAGACTAAATTGTTCCTCACATGGAAGATTAAGTCTTCCAAAGACCTGTTCATCTAAGCAGGTATAAATGCCCAGAGAACATGGGTGTAGACTTCCTTTCCAATCTGCCTGGAAAGACAGCCTCTGTGTGTCTGCTCCTGCAGAGCTGGCTATATTCTTCCCTGCAAATAAGAAGCTGCATCTCTTGTGCTAAACACACGACATTGGTTTGCAAATTCTTCCCTCTTATGGACAGACAGGAAAGGTATTTGTCTCCTTTATCCACCTTACCTGGAGCACAGCTGGCTTCACAGTAGCCACACTTAGCACATCATCAATCTGCCGACTGTTGAAGTTTGACAGCCCAATGGCTTTCACAAGACCTTTCTCCACCAGTTTCTCCATAGCCTTCCAGGTCTCCTTATAATCAATGTAGTCGTAACGCATCGTGTTATCGGGATTCTTTGGGAAGAGATTGTCCCCTCGTCTACAGCATCAAAGGTGAAGTGTAAGTACATGCACCAAATTATTTTAGTTCTTCACTCAAAGAAACCTTCCTCACAGTAGTCTTAAAAGTTTCTACATAGTCTGAAGGACAGAGTACAAACTGAATGAATCTGTTCAATTCCATTACATGACTTAACCACTGCTTAATAAGCAGTTATTACACAAGACAGTCTTTCCTACATAAAGTTGTTACGCAGCACTTTGAAGTACTCACCTATACAGCAGTGACTACAGAGAACTGATAAACCACTGTACACACAGCAGCAGCTCTTTGCACACTTTGATCCCCATAAAACAGCTGATTTAGGGAGCAGCAACTCTGAGGGCGGCTTGAAGTTGCTACCAAATGGATCTGGGTTTAAGAGCTATCTGGGAGAAACTGTTTTCAAAGGATACTGGCCTTCCCACTCCCTCTGGACTCTGTAGCTGTGTCACTACTCAATACAAGCACAGACTCTCCCAGAAGTCTTAACATGTACATGTTGTTTATAGGTTGGGTGTGTTTCCTTCCAACTAGTCAACACATTAAAAAAAAAAATATATATATCACCATAATCACCACAGAACTCTGGTAGCTCAGCAATGAGACTCTTACAGTGCTCTAGCTCAGCAGTGAATGGTGTGAGAAATAGCAGTACTTGGAGACAAGGGGAGATGGTTCTTCATGTCACTGGTAAATCTAGAACCAGAAATAACTCTGAAAGCCTTATGAGCTCCCAAGTCAGAAGAGCAGCTTCATATGTCAAGAGTATTGTATTAAGTGAGAATAATTTTCAAGACCTAAAGGCACTGTGATTTTCATCTGGAAGTCTGTTTTAATTTTTCTGTAAATAACATTCCTTAGCTTAGCCTCCCAATGCAACTGACATTATAATAAGCACACATTAAAACAGTTACATAGAAATAATGGAAAACTGCAGAATATAGTGTTTCCAATGAGAAAAGAAATGAAACTACTTTATTAGATTGTCAATTATGTCAACAGTGCCACAATATAATCTAAATTTAAATATTAGTACTATCTAAATGTACATAATTTGTGTTACGTGTCATTATCAAAGCAATGTTTGATGGGGCAGTTTTTTTCAAGCAAAAGAAAAGCAAACCTGTTGCACAACAGAAGGAATTTTTACAAGCTCTTCCTCCAGACCAGTTCTAGTTAAAAACACTTCCTCATTCTGTTATGCTGAGGAATATATTTGTACTTTGAGCATCTTGCATCTTATCGTTAGTGTATAACATTTGTAAAATTCACTTCATATGACGAGGAGAAAAAACATCCTCAGATTTGCAGAACAGAGGCCCCATAAACAAAGGGCTTGAGTGAAGACTCCATGCAAACCTTTGGCAAGGAGATTTATTCCTCCTGCCTTTTTTTGATTGTAGTTGGCTGGGGAAACAACTACTTCCACATCTACAAGGAAATAGAGTATGGAACTGTGCTTCTCATGGGATTGTAGGATAAGTGCATTTACCACTTAACTGGAAAGCTTGCTTGTCTCCTATTTCCTCAAATCATAGAATTACTGCAATTTGTGTCATAAGAAGACAATTCACTTCCACCTCATACAGATACCACTACGATACTGCATGTGCTTATCCACTCCAGTACAGTTAATAACAAGTAAAAAGTGTCATCTTTATGAAGCACTTAATTCCCATTTTCCAGATCAGGACAACTAAGGCACAAAGCAGTTCTGGTATTTTCTCAAGGTTACCAGGTAGGCCAATGGCAGAACCAAGAACAGCTGCTACACTTCTCCAGTGCCTAGATGAAGACACTAGACTGTTTTAAACTTTAAACACCAAAAAACACCTCGCAGGCAGCATAAACAGGAATAAATCCACAGCTCAGAAAGAACATCCTCAGGATATAACATGAGCCACTTATGTAAAACTGGTGTTTCTGCATTCTGTGCCCTCTGCATCTAGAACTTACTCAAAGGCATGAGGCCAGTGCATGAGGTACAGGTCCAGGTAATCCAGTTTCATATCTCCAAGTGTTTTTCTCAGTGCTGGCTCTACATCTTCTGGGTGGTGCTTGGTATTCCAGAGCTTTGATGTTACAAACAGGTCCTCCCTTTTAATAACCTTCAAGAAAGGAAGGAGACCGTAATGTACTGGAGCAAGTTCAGAAAGAGAATTGCAAGAATTCCCAAATTAGTTTTAAAACAAAGAGAACAACTGAAGTTTTGTGGTTTGTTATGTTTGTTGTGTTTTTTTTTTTTTTAAAGGTAACACATGGAACCTAAAAATTAAACCTTTCAAAAATATACTGGATGGAGACAAGCCAGAAAAATACACACAGTGGCAAGTCTTAAAGTATATCAAATACTTTAGCAATTAGAAGTTTTGAAAAACAAAAAAAATTCTTTCCACATACTCACTCTTCCAAACCTTCCAATTCAAGGGTTAAAGCCATTACTAAGTGTGATGTGGCCAAAAGAAAGATTACTCAGCTTATTCATATGTAAATTTTCAAATTTCCATTTAACAATTCACATTTTCCAGGTTCAACTAGCTTACTTACTTTACTCATCACAAGCTAAAAACCAAGATTGCTTCCTGTGGAAAGAGCGTGGGAAAATAATCAGAAGATTGCCCAAACCTCTGCACTGGAGTTTCTAGGCTATGGAAGGAACACACTAAGAACAGAGAGCCCTGGACCCTGTGCTGGAAGGGTAAGAACCAGAAACAAAACAATGGAGAACTGGTTATCTAGAGAGCATAAAATACAAAAGGGAGATCACATTGGGCAAAAAGCACAGAATTGCATCAGAAAGGACACTTCTCACTGTCTCATGTCTGATAAAACTTCAGTCAAGTCTATTTTGAAGAATTTGGAATTATTAATTCCTTAGTTTCTCTCTTCCAACTATTCAATCATTTCTGTGTTTCACACAAGGATGTTGTGTTTAGAAGGAAGATATTTAAAAATTCTTTTTAAAAGAATTTTGATTCAAATTCTAGTTCTAAGTTAACTAGCTAATATGAACTGAACAAAATGCTTCCCATTGTTACCACACCTAATAGGGAGGAATCCCTGAGGCAAGCTGAAAACAGCCTCTCTCAAGCACATAACCATGAGATTGCCCTAAAGCCAAGGCAGGAGCAGCAGGAAAGCAAGAACATGAAAACTTCCTTTCCATGAGCTGTGAGGCTGTACAGGTTATCCTTTCAGTCCCTTCAGGGAATAAATTTAAGATTCCACCTTGGTTCATGCATAGGAATGCCTGCCACATTACGTTATACCTAGCCCTCAAACTCTCAGGTGCAGATCTGGAGTCTCATTTATGAGCCTTTCATGTGCAATCACTGTCTTAAAAAATTAAAATTCACCACATTTACTCACTTATATTTTATCTATAACAAAAAACCTACAGTTGATATTTTATCAATAACCAAAAAAACTAAATTTGATGTGGCTATCCCCCATTGCATGCTAGACTGGAAAGTCAGGGTAACTTTTCATATAAATCATGACAAATATTATACATTATAACTTACGATTCTGGGAACCCCAAAGAATGCAAATTGGGATACTTTGTTAGGGGAAAAGGAGCAGGAAGAGGAAAGAAAGCACCACCACCACCAAAAGCATTTTCTGTAGCTTCCATCCAAATATCCCTGACAATCTTTCATCCCCATGACAGCCAGGAGGGTTCTAAGAGGAGAGAAAGCCCTCTCTCAAGCCTTCTCCTGATAAACAGCAAACAGCTGGGGGAGACCAGCAGGCAAAGCCACAACTGTGACCCTCCCAGGGGACAGCTGTAAGCTTTGGCACAGCACACAGTGAGCAGGGCAGCTCCTGTGCTCTCACCTTGCTGGGCCCCACACACTCCTGGAAGGCCTCCCCGATCTCGGCTTCGTTGCTGTAGGCGGCTGCGCAGTCGATGTGGCGATAGCCCACGCTGAGGGCGTGCTTCACTGCCTCCTTCACCTGCAAGCACAAACACACTGCCCATGCAGCCACTGAAATGGGATGTGGCACTGGGGAAAAGTTAAAGAATGCTAAGAGACTTGGTGAGGAACATCCCCCAAAAAACACAGATCTGTTTAAGGTCATGAGATTCAAACACGAGGATCTGGAGTTTCTGTGGCGTGGTCCTTAGGGAGGAAGAGCAAACTGCTGGCAGGCACTCCAAGAGGAACAAGCAAATGGATTGTGCACACAGGGCCAGCATGCAAGAATGTAATGTAACAGGTAGAACAAATCCCTACTCTTCACTACAGTTGTTACACTTTTCTTAAATATAAAATGAGCTGTAAGAAGCACTTTTCAAATAAGTCATGGCTTAGGAAGACAACTTTTCTGACCAAAGTGACAAATCAACATCAAATTTGGATTATACATCCTCTTGCCTAGTAAGGAAAGAGTCTGGCTTCTAACTCCAAAATCACCACAGTTTGAGTTTGGTTCAGCCACTCACACTTAATTACCAAGACAATGCTCTTTTATGGAACATTTTCTTTATTGTCTCATAATTGCACAACAGCAAAAGTCATGCTGCTGGGATACTCCTGATGATGCTCACAACTTTACATTCTGCTTTCAACATTGCTGACAATGAAGGTGTTGCCAACAGTAACACAACTCTTGCTCCATGTTGTCACACAAAAGCCAGAATGGTTTTTGGAAACCAAGGCACGTTACTTCAAATCTGATTTTGAAAGCCCTAATGAAGCACAAGCTTCACAAATATCTTCTCATGGGGGCCTCAGATATGAAGCAAGTCTAGAAACCAGAAGGAAACACAGAATGGCATCTTTGTGAGGACTCCTAAGGAGCTTTTGAAAAAAAGACTTTCTATAAATGATTGCAAGAATGAAGAATTACTACAGTTGCCAGTGTAATCATCATCTCCCATTAGGCTGATGACCATTTAATAAAATCTATTTCATTTAACTTCCAGTGGACAGTTAGCACACGTTCTCTCTAACATCTGTCCTTCTGAAATACTACAGAAAGAATAATAAACCCCATCTGTACAGGGATTTCTGTACATTGCACCTCACTAACTTGTCTCTCAAGACTGTGGGAGACTAAATTACTCTGTGTATAAGGCTTGATGCAATAGGGCCATAAATGTTAAGTGAGATCACACCTCTCTTGGCATGAGATTAAAAAATATATTGACAAAAGCTAGAGGGCTACTTTGATTCAAAACTTAAAGTACCAGCATTTTCCAATTTAAAGCTGACAAAATTAGGAATACCAAGCAAAGGTGTTTATAGTCCTACTTTCAGATGCTACAAAAAGGCAATGGAGAACCAAATGTGAGAGCTCTCTCCTGCTGGTGGATTTGATTTGTTTTTCTTGTCAAGAAGTGCAGTAAAAGCAGACACAGGATATTCTGACTACATTCTTTGGCATTTTGAGAGGAAAACTGGAGTGTAGCTCAGTTTCCCTTAGCCAGGATGACAAAGCACTTCTATTACAGCAGTGAACTCCTCCTTTCTCTAGCAGGATGGTACTTACAGTCCTTGTTTCACCTGACAAAGACATTTCTCAGGTCACTACAAAATCAAGGGCAGGGTAATCCTGAAATCACTTGAGACATAGTAAGGGCTTTTAAGACTCAATATCTATCCTCCAAAAATATGAGATTTGTGGAGAGGGACAGAAAAAAATGTTCTGTGTCTGGAACCCCCTATTTCCTGTATCAGATTAATACTCTTTTTTAATCAAACAGGCACAAAGTTTACCATAAATGAAAGTAGTCACCACTCACAGAAAAACAGTGATAAAGCACTCCAAACATGTCTTTGCAAAGAGATCAACAAGAGGCTGTATTTTTTTATCAGCATGTTTTGAGAAATTTCTAGCACTAAGAACTGGGACTGATAATTTAAATAAGGTTTTAAATTATGGGAGCTGACAAAAATAATCTGTATTTGGGTAAGCTATTCCCAGCCTACTAAGACATTTCAGTGTGAACTGAGAGCTCCTGTTCCACACAAAAGGCAAACAATTGAGAGCAAACATGCAAAAAAAAAAAAAAAGGCTATTTTTGGAGGGGAAAAATAATAACACATAGATGTACGTTTTTAAAAAAGTACTTTTTTTAACAAGAAGTTCTGTATTTTTGAGATTAGCTTTAGAGAGGTATATGCATTTCATGGTAGGGGGTAGAGAACAAAAACACAACAGAGGCAGTTGAAGATATGCCTGTGGGTATTGTTGTGAAGTACAAATAGCCAAATTTGTACTTCAAACTTTCCATATATTCTTTAGTTTAGCCTGTCAATACTGCTATGAAAGGAACAATTAGTGAGTTTACTTTGTATTAGGCAAGCTGAGTCTCACAAGTAACTCAAGTGACTCACCAACCCATCCCCACAGAACTAAAGTTAGGTTTTATTAAAAGTACATCTGAATGGATCTTTAGGCATCTTCCAGTCTACCCTCAAGGCCCTCAGCTGGGCAGAGTAAATCCAGAGCACTCCCACACACATTTGTCATAGCCCTTCTTGTGACAGGCAGTCTATTCCAATGCTTTGAAATCTTTCTGCTCAAAGTCTTTTAGACAACTCACAAAGATGGCCCTGATGCCACATCCCATTCCTCCCAGAGATGAAATTCACAGCTTGCCCTTTGTGAGGGCTTTTCCCACATTTGCAAAGTGCACAGCTCCTCTCACACCTCTCTTGACCACATAACTGCAGGTGCTTCCCCCTTTCATCACAACTCACCTTTCCCAAACCTTGCATCTCTCTTGCTGCTGTCTCATCAGCTGTTTCATGCCTTTCTTCAAATGGTTTGCCCCAAAACAGACACAGGTATTGCAGTTGGAGCCTCATCCTCCTTCACTTTATAGCAAAGTCCAAGGAACTACAGTCCCATCTAAACACTCCAGTAAGGGACTTGGTCTTGTCACCCACCTTCTTTTGAAGATGGATGAACACAATATCAGTGGCAGATTCAGATACAATCTCTAAGTCCCCATTAATTATAATATTCATTACTAGATTTCCAATTCTTCAATTTGCCTCTCCCAAGGTTAAAAAACTAACAAGCTATCTTTATACTTCCAGGCAACACACAGTTCAAGTGAATCAGGAGCCTCTTGTGCACAGTCCCAAGCCAATATGAAGAGATTTCCACTCTTAACAGTTCAATACTACTGGGAAAGAAAAGGCTCTCACCAGCCACCCCTGCTTCCTGCAAAGTTGACACATTTTAGCAGTTATTTTGCTGAGAGGAAGTAGGAAAAAACCAATCACAATCAGTGCACGTGATGTTCAGATGCACTATGACCAGAACCCAAGCGCTGCTGTATCAGAGTTTCTAAAAATTGCATCAAAATTGGCTGAAAAGGAACTCACACCATGAGATAAATAATGCCAATTTAAAAGGTGGTGTTCCCTAAAATAAAGAGGTTTGCCTCTTATCCTTCAAATGTTGACTATAAGTCCCTTCCTCAACAGCAGTGAATTTTTTTGTGCCCGTAACCAGGATTCTCTGTACTAACAAATTTCAAGAACTAAACATTCTCCCCTGAAGCTGCAATCCTGTCACAAGACACCCTGTCTGACTGGTTTTCTGAGGTGCACTTCTCCTCGGTTTTTCCAAGGTTTCACACAGAAATACAAGCCCTGTGTCTCCCTGTCCCACAGAACCAGCCTCTGCCACTCAGGTTAGGCTGCTCATCAGGTGGGGATCAATCCTCCAGGTTGAAAGCATGGCTCACTTGAGAGAAGAGAACAAAGCATTAAAGGATTACAGCTAATCCAGCTGCAATATCAAAAAGCAGAGTACTGATATTCTTGATACTCCTGTCTGAATGGATTTCTCTTTGAACTGATTCATGCTGCCAGTTCATAAATTTCTGTACTGTGCTCCCTTCCATTCAACAGCTCTCCATCATATCCCTATGGAAACATGCAAAACAAATTTCTCTTCTAGCACTTGATCATGTAAAACACAAAACATCCTATTATTTTATATGGTGTCAATCCTATAAAATCCTTTCAACATGGAATTAGATTCAATTATTTTCCCCCTATTAATATCTAGGAAACTGGGACTGCAATGACACCTTTGTACTGGACTGCTAAGATCTGTCTACAAGGTCAAGGCTTGTTTACAGTCAGGAACAGTAACAGCAGTAATAAAGAAATTACTCAAGCTTGGCAAGGGAAAGAATTACAATCTGCAAAATATTTACCCGAAATAATTTAAAAGCCATCCATTTCCACACTTACTTCTAATGCAGCACTTGAACAAAAGAGCAGTTCATAAATAGCCTCTACTTGGGAAACAGCTAAACCAAATTTAATCAATGCTAATTCTTCTGCTTCTTTGGGTTTTTGGCCCCTAGTCTTTAATTCATAATAGCAGTTATTATCCCTGAGCTATATCATGGCTTTTTAAGGGTAAATCATCTGGACACTGCCAAATTGCTGCTATGCCCCTGAATTTTCAAAACTGGTAAGCAGAAATTCATTTATTCCATAGGAATAGCAGCAACTTCTGTAACTCTGGCCCTTTCCACTGCACTTCCTAGATTTTGTCTTCAATACATTCTACAAGGAAGTCTTTGAAGACAGCAGATATTCCAAAGAACTGACTCCCAGTGACTTCCAAGGAAACACAGAGAAGATGGCTGGATCCTGTGTGGGGTTCAGCTGCCAGCAGCACTGCTGATTATGGCAAAATCCAACTGAATTAGGTTTAAATTATGCACAAACAGGATCTGTCCTGGTTCCTTTCTAAAGCCACATGTTTTTCAGAACAATTAGTTCACAGAATAAACAACACATTCATATTTTGTTTGTTTAGTTTCAGACATTTGCTTTAGACAAAGCATATTTAACTGTTTTGAGTGCACAGAAATGAATCCATTAAGTTTGTGCATGTTAACAAACTTAATTCAGCTGTCATTTGATGTTTTAAATGGCAAAGCTGCACATTCACCATTTTCCTCATTTAAGAGGTTGACTGAGCTCTCACACCAACTCAGCTTCCACATTAGTACAACTATTCCCAACAGATCCACTGTCCTGACAGTTGTTTGGACAGGAAAACCCATAGTAAAATGGCTCTGAATAGATTTAATTTTCATAGCTTGTTTCCCACCTTTTCTTCTAGCTGGAACAAGAGAATTGCACGTCTTGAGAAGAGTTTTAACTTTCCCTCTCAGTCATGAGCACAATGTCATCCAACATACTCCAAAAAACACCTTAAGGCTCACACACAGGAGTAGCAGTGAGACATCCATTTACTGCACAAACATAAAGTGGTGTGCATAACCCAGAGAAGCTGTGGATGCCCCATCCCTGGAAATGTTCGAGGCTGGGGTGGATTGAACTCTGAGCAACCTAGTCTAGCAGAAGGGTCTCCCTGCCCACAGCAGAGAATTAGAACTAGATGGTCTTTAAGGTCTCTTCCAACCCAAACCATTCTGTGATTCCACAATTCTTTGAATACCAGCTAGGAATTCCACCAAGCAGTGGACATTACCTTTCACAGGAAGTACATACAATTTCTTCCCCAAAAAATTTATCTTTTAGCTAAATGAAAGAGATACAAAAAGACAGACAAAGGGGAGAAGCATTACAATAGCAGGCACACCATGGAACACATAAACATTCCCAGAGGCTGTTTGTAGTAACACACAGAATTGTTTCCAATTGTTGCCAATTCAATGCATTCAGAAGCAGAGTGAATGTCTAATGATACATGAGCCTTCTTATTCTGAAAGCAGGCTGACCCAAGCAAATTCTTTGTTTTCCTGCTAACCATTGGCTGGCTGCTGGAACAGGACTTAATACAAGAACAACTTGAGTTTCTGCCTCCCAAAATAATGCTTTCTGCTGAGTCATCAGCCTAAGCCAGAGGGGTGTCTGGTCAGACTGGCAGCCTGAGGACTTGCCAGTGGAAGAGTCCAGCACCACGTTATAGAAACACCATTCACTGGTCTTCTTCTGGGTTTATGTCCCAGAGCTCCACTGCCCAAAGCCAGGGCTAACAAGTCTGAAGGGATCTTCCTTTCTGGAAAGATCTGCTGTCTTTGTCCCTTAGGCTTTAGTCAGGCACATATATACATTCAACTTCAGTGGACTCAAGACTAGAACAGCTCAAGCAAAGGATACAGGCCTCAGATCTGGGACCTTCAGAAAAAGTGCACAAGCACACATACTAGTTGAGAGCACAGTATCATATTGTTCCCTGCTTACTTGGCCACGGTCACTTTTCCAAGTTCCCAGTCCCACGAGAGGCATCTTCTGCCCAGTGTGGAGTGTAACGAAGTCGCATGTTGCAGGCATTTTTGCCTAAAGAGTAAAAAGAACAAAGAGTTTTGCAGCAATTCTTTAAGTTGCAACAATTTACCTTTTCTGCTCACAGTGGCAAAGTTTTTTCATTAGCAAAGGAAGGGCTTACAGCATGTCTCAGCATGCTCACAATCTATGTTTCTGCTGAAACAGTTAAAAAGAAACTGCAGTCAGGATGAGCTCCAAAGCTGGCCAGCTGATTTCAGTTACTTCCCAAGCTCTGCTGCATCCAAAAAACACCAAAAAGCAACAAAAATAACCAAGAGTGGAAGAATGCAATGCTAGTTACATCTGACTATGTAGGAGGAATGGATGTTCTCAGAGTTCAGCATCCACATAGCACACTATCCCAAAATAGGTCTGCTTTCTCAGTATTGTCATTTTCCTCACATAATTAGGTCTCAGCTGATGGATGTGTTCACACAGAGTTTATGCTTCCAATTTCTTGCTTAGCTTCTCAAGTCACACTTTTGTAGATTTAATAGCAGATGCCAGATAGCACACTTGTTTTTCAGACATTCAGGAGCTGTTGGAGTGATCCTGACCTGAAGGCCATTGTACACCAAGGGGCTGGGGATCCCTGTGACAGTTAACCTGAGTAGATCCAGGCTCATCTTGTGCTGCACTCCACACCCAGCCTGGTGCTGTGGGATGCACAAGCTGCAGGATAAGCTCAGCAGCAACCTGTAACAGCAGTCTGCAGGTCACTGACACTTTGTACCTGCAACTATGCTACTACCTATGTATCATGCCTTTATCTAAAAATGCAGGAAGTTCTCCAGCAAGCATCCTTTCTGTCTGACAGCAGAAGTGATGAATAAAGGTGTTTTCTTGTAAAAGAATCCCCAGCAGCTCAAATGACCAAAACAGGGTAACCCCTGCTATGGACAGGGTCTGCACACTGGGCTGTGTGAGATCTGCCCAATGCTGCACAAGCTGGGGCTCCCAGCACCTGAAGGGGTGCACAATCATCAACACTCTCCTCTTTCTTTAAAGGGTTAGCTCTAAAAGCATCATTTGAGATGATACCTTAGAGTCTGAGTGCCTTTCTTGTCAGGATTGTAAGGACCAGCACCTCCTGGTGCAAGGCAATCATGACACTGAACTAATAGCCCTGGATTTGTGCTGAACTAAATCCAGCTATTGGTGCTGAAGACAATCACTGGTGAACCAAACTGCAGGTTTACATCTGTTTTATTGGGGTAGGAGATCAGAGAAGACAGGGTGATGGTGCCAACAGTATTCTCCTCTACTCTGAACTTGCACAGCCATTTTGTAGCCAGCTACATGCAAGTGGGTGCTGTTCACCTGAATTTAGTTGCCTAAATAAAGACATCTTGCATCAAGCAACACAACTAAAAATGCAAGGCTTTTTCATTCACTTTGGTCTATAATACAAATAAGATACCAACTGTATGCTTTACACAACCATGTTATGCAATCATCTTAAAGGTAAGAGTTCAGCCCAGAAGACAAGGTACACGTTTAATCGATAACTAGCATCAGCACATTTTTTAAGAACCATCTTGCTTCATGTAGGATTGGACATTAACACCACAGAGAGATTTGAACTATAGCCTCTGGAAGAATGGAACACATCAGAATAGCAGACACTGGAAAAAAATATGTTAATTAATACTTTCCACTCAGATTCTTCCCTAAAATAGGGAATTTAGGAGAACCACACTTATGATGCTAGCCATAATTATTCAGTTCATTAAAAAGCTGAAAACCTCTTCTTAGAAGGGCACAGACAAACACAAACATAAAAGCAAACTAATTTTGGACAAGTAAGATATGGTTATAGCATAGCATCACCAATCTACTGCCACATTCACATAAAGGGATTAAAGCTCAGAGTAACTCAAGGACAGTGTAAGGCTGGGAGGATGCATCAATAACTACAGTAATGCAAACTACCCCAGTTCATCAACCCGCAGCTACAGCTCATTTTTAACTTAAAGCAACGAGTCTTTAGCAGTAAAGCAACCATAGCTATACATGCCATTAATATGTATAGAGATGCAAATAGGTACATATTAGCAATACTTAGATCGCTATAGCTGAGCAGCTTCTGCCGCACAGCTCGGGGATAACCCCTCTGCATTCTGACTGCCCAGAGGGGCCAAGCGCGCCCCCCTGCCCCTTATCGGGGTGGCGCAGGGCGCGTCCGCCCGGCGCGGGGGGCGGGGGAGGGCTGATAAGGCGGCCCCGCAGCCCCCGCAGCGTTCCCGCACTCACCGCCGCTACCGACCGCTGCTACCGCCGTTACTGAGGCCGCTGCTCCGGCTGCTGCCCGGCCCTTCCGCTTCCGCCGGGAACGGGCCGCGGGCTGGGGCAGCGCGGGTGCCGCTGGCGGGTTCAAATGTGAAAGTCCATCCGTGGGGGTTTAGTGCGGCTGAGCTGCCCTCACGGCTCTGCCCCCGGTGGGGCTCTCCGGCACCGACCCGCTCCCCGTAACTCATCGGGCCCCCGGCACCGACCCATCCTGTTTGTCATCGGGTTTGCCCCGCTGATCTCCTGTGCCCTCCCGGCCCGGTTCCCGTCGGGAAGCTCAGGCAGCCCCAGCCTCGCCGCTCCCGCCGAGCGGTGAAGCGATAAATGCGATGGGCACCACACGGGGGAAGCGACAAAAGACGGCTCCGGCCCATAAATTCGACAAGAAGGGTTTGCATCTCCCCGACTGCTGTTTGTCGTGGCCTCTTGAGGCCTTTTCTACTTGTAGGAATACCGACTACACCCAGTTTTATTTGCAGACCTATATAACAGGAATCCAGGGAAAGTGAAAGGCTGATTGCACTCGTTTTGCTTCAGCTTTTGTGCTCTAAGCTGTATAGAGAAGTCGCACTTTCCGAGAAGGCTGGGGCTCTTCTCCTTGCAGATGGGCAGGAATTCATTTCCTTGTTTGCTCGGGACCGGGACCGCAGTGAGATTAAAGCAGGTCGGTTCAGCTGAGTGCTTTCACTGCTGGGCAGGGACAGCTCTGCTACTGCGAAGTCAAAGCCTTCTGCTGAAACAGACTTTGGCCTGTAATGGACAATCAGCTGTGCACCCAATCTTAAACACAACTAAAAACTGAGAATCACTTTTGACTTCTACTCCTGGATTCCATCTTTACAAGCAATGTATAAAGATTCAGAACTTAAAGTAAGATTAGATCAGAAATAAGGCAATTGATACCTGTGGTGGAGTGGAGCTTTGAAGAGCCTGTTACTTATTTCCAGAGAGATAAATCTGCTGCAGATTCTGTCTTTGCTGTTCTGACTTGAACTGCTCAGGAGGCTTAAAGGCACAAAGGTCAATTAATCTCTTGGACATGCATGTGACCAGATTTTTCTGTTGCACAGCCTGTTTTGACGAAATAAAGGAAAGTGGAAGAAAAGTGCAAGGACAAGGCAACAATTATAAATAACAGGAAGCAGGAAATGAAAGAATGAAGGGGGAGGAATCACTGCTGAGTTTGATTTATTTTTATGAAGACCCTGGCAATCACATCCATTTGAAAATCCACAGTCTTCAAGCAAAAGAAGATGCTTGAATTATGTAAATCTCACATACGAAAACTTTAACATACCTCAGCCTCCAGTAATGTAATAGGGGAGCAAAAGAGAAAAGGTAAAGAAGACTAAAACATTTTGTCATCAAAAAGCAGTGGTTATCCAAACATAGAGTAATAGCCTGCTAATTTCAAAAAATATGCAGAGAAGAGGTAATTTTGACCTAGAAATAGAATCTTCACTTGATTCAAACAAGGAAAGATAATATGTGTATTTTATATTTAATGACATGCAGTTGTTTTCATTAAAATAATTGTGCACCAGCTACTGGTGCATAAATGCCCCATGGAACTTGTCATATTAAATTAAATTGTCCCCACATGGCCAGGTCTCACTCTGACTGTGCCTCTGGTAGTGCCATGTGTATGTAGGAGGTTTGGTACAGTCAGGACTCAGTGGGCTTTTGGCACATGCAGTGATGAACTCCACAGGGCATGTGTAGGGTGTGCCAATGCACTGGCTTTTGAGGGCATGCAGGGACTACCTCTGCTGTGTGCTCCAGGGGCATGCCCAGTGTTGCCAAATCCATTACTATTCCAGCTAAGTTTATCTTATTCTGGAAATCTTTGATACTCTTATACAAAACCATTCTCAAATGTATGGAAACTCAAATGTGTGGTAATGTTCTGAAACAGGTCCAGTTTCTTTGCCTTTCTTTTTACACACAGCAGGGCATTTGTTTTGCACATCAGGGGCACATTCCCAACTAAGATACATGGGAGATACTGTGATCAAAATGATGGATGTGAAAGCTAGTTTGGCTCCCAGTTTGGGTAGTTTCACTGCTCTGGCACTGCAGGGCCTGCCAGCTCCTCTTTGTTGAAAGATGAAGTACTTATTGTGTCCCTGTCTGAGTGGATGGGTGCAGAGAGGCCTGCACTGGGCTCTGATGCTCCATGCTAATCAGGTACAAGCTGATCCTGTCTGGCAGCTATTTTAGCAGAACACAAAAGCACAATTACACTGCTGTGGGGAGAGAACTCCATCCTTCCAGCACCTGTGGGGGTAGACATGCCCTTTCTTTCCTGGAAAACACAATTGTTTTCATCTAAGTAGCATCCTACATCTAAAGGTTGAGAAAGACTACAGAAACCCAGGTGCTCGCTGAACAAGGAGTGGCCTCGACAACTTATTATTCCAAAACCCCCAAAAACTGACGTCTGGAAAGACAAGCTCAGAAATTAATCAAAAGTAATGAGGCCACAGACATATGAATGGAAAGGCAATGCTTACAGCACAAACCTGGAACAGCCTGCAGAGCATAGTGGGTATATTGTGCATCTGAAAGTAAGAGAAATGAACATAACAAGCATTAAAGGAGTCAGAAACCATGAGAAAGTCATTACTGCTTTGTCCATTGGTAAACATGCTGGAGTTGCAGTGGGACAACATTGTTCTGGATGTTTTGATTAGGACTGCCTGACCTTTTAGGGGTTAATCTGTTCACAGGTTCATTGTCCTGAGGTGATGGGGAAGTACATACATGTCTCAATATATAGACCTCAATTCTCATGAGAACACTGATGTTAAGAAAGTAAACTTCTTCCTGTAAAAGATTAAGCTATCTATAGCAATAGAAGTAGATAAGTTAGTTGCATGAAAGTGAGTGCAGATTTTTTCCTGAGTCCATATATGCATGTTATTTGCTTTCATTATTTAAGGATTAATTTCACCTGATCCCAAAATGAGTCACCTCTGGGTGAACCACCACATGGGTATGGTCACCCAGCAACACTACACAGTGATCTTGATTATAAACATTTAAAGTTTGTTAATCCTTTGTGGTTTTCTACTCATTACAATTTATAATCAAGTTTTAACAGGTATAAGAAACAAAACTGTAAACTGCAAACCAGATGAGTAAAAATCAGTTGGTGACCACATTTATCACTTTTGACAGAAGCAAGCATTTTTGTCCTTGATATGGCTTAATGGCTTTCAGTATTCATTATTTAATAAAGCTTTCACATTTAAATTCAGAATTTGGCCCTTAAAGAGCAGCTTCACTACTGAATGATGCAAAACTCCCTGAAGTAACTGTATCTTCCAAGGGCTTCCGTCCTACCACTGAAGCTCAACGGTTGCACTTTAAACTTAGTTTTCATCTTTCTTTTGCTGACTTGCATGACTGGGATCGGTGTTCCCATTGATGGAGAAGAATCAATGAAAGCCTTGGGAACGAGTATCAGGGAGAGGGGGCAGTGGGTAGTACAGAGCGAGAGGATGGAGATCTGTCACCGCACCTCTGTAACACTGCGAACACACATTGCTCTGCTTGTGAGAGGTTCCGTTTTACTTCTGTCAATGGCCAATACTTAATTCACATGAATGGCATGCCAGTCGCCCCTTACTCTCTCTCAAAGTCCTGCGTACCCTCTGAGGACTTCAAATAATCATAGCTAGGTCAATTAAGGCAGTAAAAATGCCATCGCTTCGTGCACCAAGGCCATCAATCGTTTATAACCGCGGCATTGGATATTTCCACGGCACTTCCCGGGGCTCTCTCCAGGGAATGATCTGCGTTCACTCGCACCCCGATAGCCCCAGATCTGCCAAGTCATGCTGCCCTTGCAGGCGCTGCCGCCCTCCCCTCCCCGCCGCGTCCGCTCGCGAGATCCGCGCTGCTATAAAGGGGGCGGCGCGGCGGGGCTGCGGCACTCCGGGCCGAGCTGAGCCGAGCCGCTCCTATTGCGTCTGCGGGACCGGGTCTGCGCTCCGAGTGAGTGTGCGGGGCCGCGGGGCTGCTGGGGGCTTTGCACAGTGTTTGGTTTTTTTGTTTTTTGTTTTTTTTTTTTTTACATTTCATTTTATTTTTATGTGGGTTTTGTTACTGTTTTGGGTGGGTTTTTTGTTCGTTTTCCCCTCCCCCTCTGCGCAGATGCGCCCTTGAGCGAGGCGCGTAGGGCGAGCCCTTTCTCCCCGCGTCCCGCTCCCGAGGAATCGCGCTGCGCTGCTGCGGCTGCCCCCAACAGCGGCTCAGTTTTCCCTGGTGTTGGTTTGGCCTTTTTTTGGCGGGCAGAGCGAGCAGATAAGTCCTTCCAACGCTCGGGCCTTTATCAGCGCTGCGCGGGGAGGAGCCGCGGGGAGGGCCCGCGCGGGGAGCGCTCAGAGCGCCTGCAGGGAGCCGAGCGGCCCCTTCCCCCGACAAGCGAGGCTGCATCTCGCTTCTAAGCCTTAATAAAATCCAAACCCGAGCGCTGGCTCGGGGACATGCAGGGGGCGGCTTCCCCTGTCCCAGAGCGGTGTAGGGGCGATGTGGGCGGGGGAAGGCTCGGAGGTCGGCTCGGAGGTCGCCTCGGAGCCCCTTGGGCGCCACGCGTGCCGCGGTCCGTGCGCGATGCCCGCGGTTCGGTACCGCACCCCGACCGCGGCTGCGGTGGCCTGACCGCATTTTTGTGACGGTCTGAAGGTGGGAGTGGAAGGTTGATGGTGCATTTTGAAACGGCCTTTCGCTTTTGTTCAAGCCACCCTAAAGGTATGAAATAGCTCGTTCAAGAGAGCAGGCCTGGCTCATTATAATTGCAGTTTAAAGATAATTGAGGCCGTCGGCGGCTATGAGCAACAAAGATACTCTGGCCGGATTCGAGTGTATTTGATTTAAGGTGCTCATTGTACTTTCCTCCGGAATGAAAGGAAGTAACAATGATTCTGTGGTCTGCTCCTCTGCGCGTTAGGAAATGCTGTGGCTAAAAATCCGAGCAGAACACGCGCTGACCCCACAAGGAGTAGCAGAAGGGTTGGCAGGTCACAGCGGGTGCTCTGAGGAAAGCACATGGTTCTCTTGAAGTGTGAGGCAACCGAGGTCTCCTGCAAATACTAAAAAGATTTTAGTGTTACCAGAGAAAGGGGCAGTAACTTGTAATTTAGAAAGGGGAAGTATCAAAGAGCAGTCTGACCTTGAATACCTAGTGAGGTACTCCAGAGGATTGCTGATGGAACAAATATAGAAGGACTGGCATAGTACTGAGCAAAAGGATGACCTTGAGCTTGGATAACAGAAAATAATGTAATTCAGTGATAAAAATGTGGGTCATGCAGTCCAGGCCGAGCATCTCTTGCTTATAAGATAAAACTTGCTAGTTGGAGGCATCTCAGATAAATACTGTGCAGTTGCTGGTCCCCTCTCCCTCTTGCAGAATTGCACTTTGGGAGCCACAGCTGCATTTGTGGGTATGGGATTCTTGATGTCCTCCTGCCAGGTGGCTTCACTGCATCCTACAAATGATCTCTAGTCCTGGCCACCACATTCTCTCCCAGTCTGTTGCAGTTAAAGACTAAAAACCCTTGGATGAACATGGGGATAAGGAGCTTTGTTGCAGAGTTAGAAATTCCGAATGTGTGGGCACTTCTGAAAATTAAAACTGAGAGGTGGATCATTGCTGTCAGGGTTTGTGAGAGAAACTTCCAAAAGCAAAACCATTGCTAAAAAGGTTAGGTGTGGGTTCAAAGCTAAGTATTTGACTTGTGGGCTAGTTCTCCAGGAAAAAAGTGTCTGGCAAGGGGGAGGGAGCCAAGAAATGAGGTGCTCTCAACCTTTTTTAGAACAGACTTGGTGCCTTGCAGGCACAACTTGGAACAATCCTTGGCTCTTGGCTTTCCTTAGCAACATGAGACTCATGCTAACCTTAGAGGTGTTTTTATCTCTGAGGCAACCAGTGCTGCAGTGTGTAGAACAAAGTGAAATAACTTGTAAGAATATTTTGTGATCTGCAGAAATTAGGTATGTAGAGTTGCCTATTTGAAAGATTATGCTCTGGAAGTCTATGGAGTTATTCTGCACTCCCAGACTGAGCAGAAATACTGCACAGGATGAATTACAGATGACAAGCTTTTGGGGCAGACAGCCAGAAAGGAGCATGCTCTTGTCCTTGTGTACCCTTTTATTCTTTTTCAATAGACTTAAAGGGGAAGCAACCTGGTGTACTGATTTAGACTTGGTGAAATTGTAATTAACATAGAATGTGATTTCCATGTGTGCCAAGAGTCTTTCTGGTTGCAAATAGGAAAGAGTTGAATTGTTCAAAAGGGTAAAGTGTAGTTATGCAGAGCAATATTCCCTGGGGATTAACAGAAGTTACTTTCTTTCAGAATGAACAGGAAGCTCAAGTTTGAGGCCTTAAGTTCCCTTGTAAAATTGAACAAAGTTCTTCTTATTGAAAGGTCTAAAAACCAGACTTTCTACTCCACCATGGTGATATGGTTTTCTGAGTACTAGTAAAGCTCTAGGCTAGCAGTTTCCCAGACTCTGAGCTGTTAATGGTTAGATAACCATTACTGCATCTTTAAGAGGCCATGAGCCATATATTTTGAAGTGCTGGCAGTCTCTATAGTGGCTCAACTACCCAGGTGATAAAACTCATTTAACACTTAAGCCTTGCTGCAAGACCGAGTGCTGATAAATGTCTTTGGTGTTTAATCTAGATTGATAAAATGCTTTGAATAAATCCTTACTTCCAGGTGCAAATGTACTACCATCTAAACTGTATTGGTGTTCACTCCTGTCTAGGTTAAATCAAGATGTCTTCAGGAAAGGCTTTCATTGGAAAACCAGCTCCTGACTTTACTGCCACGGCTGTAATGCCAGATGGACAATTCAAAGACATCAAACTCTCTGACTACAAAGGTAATTTCATGTACTTCTCTAATTACACAGATAGGCTGGTCATAGGAAGGACTGGAGGTATCTGAATGCGCATCTTGGTTTGGCTTTGAAATTATAGTGACCACTTCTTGGCAGTGGACTGAAGATCAGAACTTGTGCAGTGGTGGCTGCAGTATGCTTAGAAGGCTGTCAGCAGCATGACTGAGTGTCCCAGCTGTGATAACTGTTACCAGTGAGCATAAAAGTCCTCTGAACTGTTACCTTGCTTCAGGCTCGTTGCCCTGAGTCATAGTGAGGCTGATGTAATGTTTCCAAACTGTGGAACAGCAGCATCTTCTGTCTCACCTTTGTCAATGGAAAGTAAATTCTTTCATCTAACCCACAAAGTCCCTTTCTCTAGAGTGCTGGCAATATGTTTGCTTTGTCAAAAAAAACCTTCACTGAAAGCAAAGGGAAAGCCTGAAGTAATCAAGTACTCAGGTTGATGGCTTTAGAAATACAATTCTAATGATGCTGCAGGCTACATCAGGGTGATGAGTCAGTATAAACTACTCACCTATTAAAATGTCTCCTTGGCTGGTAGCCTTTCAGGTCTGTGGCATTTCCCTGTTAGGGGTTTTCTGGTGTAGCACATCCAGAGCTGTACTTGGGGCAGGCCTATGGGAGTAGACCCAAGAGACAAGCATTCCCTGTTAAATTTGACAGTCTGGGTTTGGGGAGTTCAGTTGG